TGTGAGGCAATGGAGATATGGAAATAGGTGTCCTTAAGGTCTACGGTTGTGAACCAGACACCCTGAGAAAGAAGGGAAGTGATTGAGGCAAGAGTCACCATCCGAAACCTCTTGGGTTTAATGTGTTTATTGAGTAACCGTAAATCTAGGATGGGACGCAGCCCACCACCACGTTTCTCAATCAGAAAGTATCGTGAGTAGAAACAGAATTGACAAACATCAGGGTCTACCAAAGATATGGCCCCTTTCGTTAACAGCATTTCAATTTCCTCCAATAACTGAGGGGAAGCAGGGGTGTCCCGTTTGTGGCCCACCCTGGGTAAGTCTTCAAACTCTATGGAATAGCCGCCAAACACAATAGACAGAACCCAGGCGTCAGAAGTTATGTTAGCCCATTCCGTGCCAAAAGGAGCGAGTTTGTCTAGAAAAAAGGGCAACGGCCCTGACAGGGACACCGGTTCCGGTGCGGGGAAACAGTGGGGATAGGGGTTTGTAACTTGGGAGTTAACATCGGGGGGAGAAGGAGGATGCTGTAGGGCCTCATGGGGTCCTGTATTGGCATCAAAGGCGCTTCCTGGAGGCACCTAGAGCTTTGGGCTTTCCTTGGAATGGTTGCACCTTGGGTTTCTGTAAATAGGGAGTGCGTTGTCCTCCCTGGAATCTGGAGCCCCCTCCAGACCTATTTCTGGATGGGCCAGGAAAGGAGTTCCCAAATGGCCTACGGTAAGGAGACGCCGATTGCCATCTATTTTTGGGCTGGGAATATGGTTGCCATGTGTAACCGAATTTTGATGCTGATTGTCTGACGTCCTGTTTCTGTTTCAGGCGGTCATCAGTATTGGGGTTGAACAAGCCTTCCTCGTGGAAGGGGAGGTCCTCCGCTAAGGCTTTTCCTTCCTCCGAGAGGTTAGCTGCACACAGCCACGCATGGCGTCTTATGGATGTGGCGGTGGCGAACAGACTGCCCGCTGTCTCCGCCATATGTTTCGCGAAGTCCTTTTGTATTTTGGACAACACCAGGGCCTCCGCCTGCAGTGCTTTGGGGAGGCGTTGGTCATCTTGTGGGAGAGATTCGATATAAGGTAACATCCGGTTCCAAAGGAATGTTTGATAAGCACTCATGTATGTCGCATAGTGCGACATACGCGTGAACAAGCCGGCGGAAAAATAGGCCTTTTTCCCCAGCGTGTCTAGTTTCCTACCCTCCCTATCTGGTGGAGTAGTTGCAGATTTTTTGGGACGCTTGGTTTTGATGACTTCGGCCACTACGGTGTTAACCTTCGGAGGGGCCACAACCCATTTCGCGTTGGACATATCAATTTTATACATAGAGTCCAAGTGTCTAGGGACCGCAGGCACCGACGACGGTGGCATGTCCACAACTTTTGCCAATTTCAGGAGATAGGGCAACATTGGGAGGGCCGACGATGGGGTAGCATTCTGTTCCTCGGAAGGGAACATGAGATCCTCTATGTGCTCAGGTGGTTTAGGAGCAGGGATATCTAATGCTTTTATCATCCTTTCGATGAGTGCTGCAAACTTATTAAAGTCTGGGGGCAAGATATTAGGATCATCAACTTCCAGTTGTTGTTGAGGATCCAGTGGTTCGGATTCAGAATCACTGTCCCTCAGTTCTAAAACCCCGTGGGCAGGAGCCCCATGGGCTCTCACTGGGGTAGCAGCCGGAGCCAGGCACGGTTGGGCAGGGTCTGGCCTCTCAGGGGGGCACAAAAGTTGATTAGCAATAGGTAGTCCCACAGCCGGCATACACAAAGAACGGTCTATACAATCATTGTCTGCAACAGGCACAGGAGTAAGTCTCTCAACAGGTCTGCACAAAGTACGGTCAACACAATCAGGGGCTGCAACAGGCACATCAGGGGGGTTCCGGCCCGCACAAGGAATTATACCTGATGGCAAAGGATTGTTCGCTGCCGGAGTTGCCCTCACCCCTGATGGGGTAGGTGGTGTAGCCAGAGCTGGTGCTGGAGGCGCGAGATCTGGTTGAAAGGGGCTCGGTCGTAGGCCCCCCAGGGTGGGAGAGGAGGAAGCCACCTGCATCAATAGCAGCATGGGGGCTGGAATGAAAATAAGTTGGCCCATCGGCCCCATCTGCCAGTAGCCTGGCGGCTGCATGGGGCTGGCCCTATACTTTCTCCCAGATCGGGAGCGGGAGACTCGGGAACGCCGCCGGTGCCTGGAAGCAGTTGAGGAGGAGGAGGACGAGGACGAGGAGGAGCGACGGGAAGAGCAGCGGGAGCGTGAGCTGCCTCTTGGGCGGTACCGATGACGCCGCGATCCCTTGCTTCTGCGCGATGGAGAACGGGAGTGTCTTGGCCTTCTGTTCTCTCTGTACGGAGGGCGGGCGGTCCTCAGGTCGTCCTGAAGAAGAGGAGCTTGAGATGCAGCCAAGGGAGGGGAGGCGTAAGACGCCTCCCCAGGCCTCGCTCCCTCAGTCGTGGGCAGGGCTAGGAGCGAGGCCCCGCAGCGGTAGTTGGGGGAGGCTCCAAGGTCGCCGGTATCGGGGAGCGATTCTCTTCAGGCAGGGCATCACTGGTAAGTAAAGGGGCATTGAAGATGCCCCCAAAAGCCTGGCTGCACGACGCGACCGGTTCCAAGGCGGTCGCCATAGCTGAGCCTTCTCGGCATGGCAAGGGCTCGTCAGGGGGAGCTCCCCCCGGTCTCGATAACGCGACCTCAGTCGGCCGCGGTCGATCGGAGGGGGACAGAATCGGCATTGCTGGAGTCAGGGGGGAAGCAATGCTCGGTTCTCCTTGCGGGGATCGGGTCGGGGATTTCTCAGCCCTTGTAGCGTTCATCGCTAGGGGGCGTCCCCAGTCTCCTTGAGTTCCCGTCAGGAGGGAGGAGGGAGCAGGGGCGGCAATGGAAGAAGGGTTTCCCGCTCTTTTGGATGCCGCTTTTTTCCCCGTAGTCTTCTGGCAGCCATCTTTTGAGCCATTTTCCTTAGTGGATTTCTTCTTGGTTAACCCAGTCGAGCGGCCCAGGAAAGGTACTGTGGGCCCTGCTGGCGAAGCTCTCTGGGTAGGAGCAGTCGGGGGTAAAAGCGCCCTCATAAAGGGCCGCCTTAAGGCGAACCTCCCGGTTTTTCCTCGTCTGCGAAGTAAAGGCCAGGCAGACTGCACATGACTGTGTCAAGTGGCCCTCTCCCAAGCAGGCCAAACAGAGGGAATGCCCATCTGTGTCCGGATAGGTGTTAGGGCAGCTAGCACACTTCTTAAAATAAGTAGTCACCATGCCACAAGCAGGGGGTGGTTCGCCAAAAAATAGAGGGATGGTCAACAGTCTGGGTCGAAGCACAGTCTTTCGGGTCAGAGTAAAGGGGTTAGGCAATATCTTAGTCCAATAACCAGTCCAGTCAAAAAGCCAGGGAATCAAAAGAAGCTCACAAGGAATAAGTGAGAGAAAGAGGTTCTCAAGCTGCTGCTGAATAGCGCAGAAAAGAGAACTGTCGGCTAGTCCCGCCCACGGGCTATTTATACTCGAGGGGAATGGGCAGGCTTAGCCGGGGTTTGAATTTGTTACTTCAATTCTAGAAGGTTCCGAAAGCTGCATTGCACAAGCGCAAATACCAAATGTATGATTCACAGTGACTACGACAGGAAAGTTTATTTATGAAGTGTTAACTTTAGAAAATATGAAAATGTGGACAAATATTAAGCACTTTGCATAGTTTACCAGGCTAAATTATCTTTTAAATACAAGTGAACAAGAGGAAACATTAATCTACAAACACATGGCCTACATCTTTTTTAAGACCTGAAATCTCAATCTGTGTGATACCAGGCAGAAAAAAATGTGGGGTTTTTTTCCATATCAGCCCATTATAGGGTTGTGCAGCTACTCAGTTGCAAGAAAATTGCCAATGTAATGTCACATTCTCATGAACTGCTTATCCCAGTAATGATGCATACTGTTAATTATTTTAAAATTTGTTCATAAATTTGTGTGTGTGTGTCATCTAAATAAGTATTGTAAGCCACAAGGGATGTGAAATGTAATGTTTGCTAATACTGGTTGTGGAGTGTTGAAAAGTGTCATGTGTTGGCAACATGCATGAATAACACTATTAATCTTGCCTGCTTGACTCTAACCAACAGCATGCAAAAATAAAAGCACTTGGAAAATATTATTCAAATACATATTGTTAAAAAGTATACTGGCTTATGTTGTGTAATTTGAAAATAGAGTGATATTTATTTAGAATTTGAAAGCTGAATCTTTGCCAAGAGCTTAGTTTTCTTTCAATCTTAGTTTTTCTGTTTAGTTTTCTTTCAATCTATTTGTAATACAAGGTATAAACAGATTTTTCCCAGTAGGTTGAACAAAATAAATATAGACTCGCTTTACCACTGAAAATGAAGGATATTATCTCTAAGTCAACTAGAGACAACATAAATCAGTTAGAAATGTACACAGCCCCATTGTCCCTCATGTGCAGCAGAATGGTGACTTTAGTGCCAAGGTTTATTACACCACAGTTGCGTTTTGAAACCACTGCAAAGGAAAGGTGAGCCACATATTCCCTGGGAACCATCTATAGCAGTGGTTCTCAACCTGTGGGTCCCCAGATGTTTTGGCCTTCAACTCCTAGAAATCCTAACAACTGGTAAACTGAATGAGATTTCTGGGAGTTATAGGCCAAAACACCTGGGGACCCACAGGTTGAGAACCACTGATCTATAGCCTGGAGCATCACACATTCTCTGTATTTGGTCTTATTATGCCAGTCCAAGAACCAGCAATCCAGTTGGAGATTCTGACATTGGCATATTTCCCTACCCAGAATAGCTTCTCTGTTCATTTCAATGGCAGGAGTTGATCTACGAAGCTTTCTTTAAAACAGATAGGTAAGCCCTTTCTCACTTGTAGTGAGGGGACATACTTCTCTATCAGTTGGGATGGTTGATCCAAAAAGTATGGTGCATTGATGTATTGGAATGAATGAAGCATGAAGTAAAATCCATCTTCTACTTTCACAGTCAGAAGCTGAGCTTTAAAGAACGAGTACGGATGGCTAGCCCAAGAGGACAGAGTATCAAGAACAGACAGCCTTCTGCCTGCGACAGGAGATCACCAAGTGCAGATATTACTGCAGAGGGCAGCCCAACAAAAGTGCAAAAGAGCTGGAGTTTCAATGACCGAACGCGTTTCCGACCGTCTCTACGTTTGAAGAGTTCACAGCCCAAGCCAGTGCCAGATAGTAAGATTTTTAAAATATTCAATATCTCGTTTGTTATGGTTGCCATCTGGTTTACAACTAGGGTAAAGAAAGAAAGGCTTTCACAAGTGAGTTTGTATCTTAAACTTATAATCTTTAACAGTTTTTTCATAAACTATGTTGCTTTATACAGCTCTCTTTAATAAAAGTTTACTTTCAAATAAAACACAAGCCTCAACCGTTTCTAACTTCCTAACATGAGTTTTTGCACTCTGACAGACTTCTATACTCAAGCTCATTCAACACTTCTCTCTAATAGTAATTCCTTAACAAACATTCCTTAACTGACATCCTGTTTAAATCTGAACACTAAACTGTCACCAAATCAATCACGTGACCTGCAGCCCCTCCCACTGCATTAGGTATATAGAGATAAGGAAACTGCAAATTAGATAAGACATATACTTCAGGTTATAAAATGACACATTAAAAAACAGGCAGACATAATATAGAGGAGCCTTGAGAAGGTTGCTTCCTCCAACAGAGGATGCATGCCTTCATATACCTTGAGAAATTATTTGGACTCTTTCCTTGGATTCAATCCAATTCATCATTAAAGGAAAGGCTCAAAACAGAGAGTGGAAAAGACACCTCAGTTAGCACATGCAAACACAGTTTAGAAGTGTGCTCTATGACAATAATAGATCATTAATGTGTGCATGCAACATACCAGAAATCTGCCTCACAAGCATTGCACTTTGCAAGAGAAATCATTTATAGTCTCCACGAGAAATCATTTATAGTCTCCATCACTGTCACCATAGATCAATGTGAGAAGTAGCTCTCCACCATTTGATCATTTTGTGTTGAATACTGTTTAGAAAGGTAACCTGTTCATCTTCTGATCATTTTGTGTTGAAACCTGTAAACTCAAGACGTAGGAGATCTGCTTTTGTGAGGTGACAAAGTCACTTTTGTACTCAAGAAGATACATGTGTGGCATATACTGAAGTAATATAGGGCTCATGGGTTTGAGCACTTATTGCCCAGTCCACAGCCCTTGTTAAATACGGTAAATATTTCAGGGATGGGATTGACTTGTCAGTTCCAGATAATCTTGCAAGAATCTGTTTATCTGTATCTATTTTAATCTGGATCCTAGACAAATTTTAGAACAAAACAAGGTGTGGAATTACATTTACTTGGTTCATTTCGATTAAATGGGTGGGAATGTAATCCTTATGTTCATGCTTGGATCACAATATTCTTCTGTCTTGCATGTGTAATGTAGGGTTAGAAATCGGAGTGTTAATTGTGTTTCAGTACTATCTGGATGACCAATCACAGAAGCTGCACCAATTCTGTTTCATTGTATGACCTTTGATTTACAGGGTGTCCTTGGATTCAATTTTTAAAATCCATGTGAAGTTACTAGATAAAGCTATCTAAAGTTCTGGATTGCATTACCTGAAAGATAGGGCAATGTCATAATCTCTCAATGCATCAGGTACTTTCCATGCCAATAAGATAGCTATCCAAGGTGCTGAACCCTATCTCCAAAATAATTTTGAAGATTTTGTATAGCTTCTTGAAAATTCAGACTAAAACCAGACCTACTGCCTACTGATATCAACGCCTTTAGCAACCACCAGTGATATAGATTTAAGCTGAAAGGGGCTACATATACCTCTGACAATGGGGAATGTGTCTGACAGTAATAACGTTTTTTTTTTTTTTGTAAACAGGCCTTGCCAAGTACTCATTTGGCACAATGATGTACCTTTTCTCATGTAAATTGATGAGATTGGACTTCACTTTGGACACTCTTTCAGCATGTCAGCGGAACTGTCATATTAGTGAGATTTTTAGACCTTGATCAATGCATCTTTAATAACAGCATTTAGCAATTCTCAATAGACATCAAATAGGATGATTAAAATGTATCTGTTCTTTTGAATAGATAGATATGCCTCAGTTATTGTTAATTCTGAAAGAAGTGTAGACAGAAAAATAATAGCTGTGTTTGTAGCTTTGTTCTCTCCAAAGCCAGCAAGTAAAATGCTGCAGAATATCAGTTCATGCAATTTACCAATGCAACAACACTTCATCAAAGCTGCAATAGATAATTTGTGTAGACTCATGGAATTACAGAGCTGGAAGAGAACACAAGGGCCATCCACTCCAATCCCGTGCTGCCATGCAGGAATGCATAATCAAAGCCCTCTTGACAGAGGGCCATCTAGCCATAAAAAACCTCCAGAGAAGGATATTAAGGCAGCATATTGTGCTTTTGAACAGCTTTTGCCACTGGGGAGTTTTTCCTAACATTTAGGTGGAATCTCTTTTCCTATAGTTTGAATTCATTGCTTCATATCATAGTCTTTGTATAAACAGAAAAGAAGCTTGTTCCTTACTCAAATGTATTAGATAAGATCAGGAATGCACAAAATGCAGTTTTATAGGTTTTTTTGTGTGCCAGAAGCAACTTGAGAAACTGTAAGTTGCTTCTGGTGTGATAGAATTGGCCATCTGCAAGGATGTTGCCCAGGAGATGCCCGGATGTTTTACCATCCTGTGGGAGGCTTTTCTCATGTCCCCACAAGGGAAGCTGGAGCTGACAGACAGAACCTCACCTCATCTCACAGGTGTGAACTGCTGACTTTCAGGTCAGCAGTTCAGACAGCACAAGGGTTTAACCCATTGTACCATGGCTCCTTAGTCTTTTAGATGATACTAGATTATAGTCCCTGTATTCTTTGCCATTTGCTTCATTCTTGGACATCAGAACTTGAGTTGCAGTCCAGCAACATCTGGAGGGCTAAATTTAGCCCATGCTTACCCTAAATCCAGAAAGACAATGTTTGGTACAGCCAAGTATTGAGCTGGGTTTTTTTTTTTTTTGGTTAAAAGTATCCTTTAATCTGTGTTTAATTGTATTGATCACTCAATGCTATTGATCTTATGATAGACACCTTCATTTTATATAGATACTGTATAGTTATTATTTATGTGGAATTTCTTTGTTGCAGCTGAAGCTAGCATTGGTACCGAGGATGTATATGATGAGAGAGGGTGTCAGTGTGATGTGTCAGTGGAAGATCTTACTCCACCACTCAAAACGGTAATCCGGGCTATCAGGTGAGTTCAAAACGTTTTAATAAATCTCTTGTACACTGATGGGGAGGTATTACTTGGATTGGGTTTGAGCCCAGCTGGTCTCAAGGAAATACTACAATCTTTTCGTAGCTTAAATCAAGATCAGTTTTTAAAAGGCAGCAAAACAAATGCTTGTAATATTACAGACCATCCAAGTCTCACTCAGTTTAGAGGCTTCCGGATTCCCATCTGCCTTGAGATGCCTCTATCCCATCAAGAGTTGTGTGCAGAATTAGTTCTTTTCCAATTCCTCCGTTTCCTTTGGTATCTTTGGTACTTCAGGAGCACGAAATGAGAAAGGCCCTCCCGTTCCGAAAACCCACCTGCAATGAAAGCTTGTGGGAGCCAACCTTGGCTCCTCTTCTGCTTTTTGGCATCACAGATTAATCTTTTTATTAATTCCACAACAAAAAAGAAAACCCTAATTCCCTGTAAACTATTACCAGTTACCTCTTTCCTAGAGGAGATATCTGCAGTTGAATCCCCTGCTCACCTTCCAAAAGCAAGATTCACTAAATTCAATGGAATTTATTTCCAAATTAAGGTGCTAAGCAAGACTTCTGATTAGAAATGCATAGAATTATACATTGAAATAGTAAATTTTCCTCATGCAGCGTATCAATTCAGAGTAAGCTTTTTTTAGTCAGAGAAGGCAGCAACAACTGCCTCTTTGATTTGAAAGGAAATTGTATCTGTTAAAACACACAGCCTCTTATACAAGGTTCTGAGTTATATGCAATTAGAGGACGGAGATGACAGGATTTATGAAAAATGACCATACTTTGCCCCCTTGTGGAAAGGTTAGGAAAAATAATGTAATTTTCAAAATTCCCAGTAGCACTGTCTTGGAATCCAGAATAATATGCCATAGATAAAAATATTTTTGTTACATCTGTCACCTCAGTAACTTGAATACATAAAGATATTTATTTCTGAAGAAACTGTCTTCATGCATATAAAAATAGTTTATCTACTGTGCAATTATAATCCAGATATAATTGTAATGGCTAGTTATAATTGAGACTATAATTACTGCTATCAAATCTTTCTGTAATTATGACAAAACTGTACCTAACATACTCCAAAACTTCTCATTAATATATTGAATAAGAAATTGTAAAGAGGCCCAGATTACTTTTAACTGTAATATATTCCTTGCAGTCTTTTGACTCAGACTCTCTACACAGCTATATAATGCAGCTTGAAACTAAATTATATAGTCAGCGTAGACTCATATAATGCATTTTAACTGCATTAAATTGGATTATATGAGTTTACACTGACCATATAATGCAGTTTACATTTTATGGAGTTTAAAAGTACATATAGTGTAGTTTTAAACTGCATTACATATTCAGTATAGATTAATACAATGCAGTTCAATCACCGACCATATAATGCAGTTTCAAACTACATTATATGGCAATGTAGATGGGCCATACTTGACTATACCTCATGCAAGTGCAGTTGCTGAACTAATTGAAAATCAACCTGTAAACAATATAGATTATCTAGATCCATTTCAATCTGGTTTCAGGCCTGGCAACAGAACAGAGACAGCTTTGGTTACCTTGGTGGATGATTTACCCAGAGAGCTAGACAGGGAGATTGTGCCCGTTGGTTCTCTTGGGTCTCTCAGCATCTTTCGATACTATCGATCATGACATTCTTCTGGGCCGTCTTGCCAGGATGGGACTGGGGGACACTGTCTTACAGTGGCTCCAATCCTTCCTGGAGGGCTATACTTAGAAGTTAGGAGATTCCTGTTTGAACCCCTGGCCACTGACCAGTGGAGTTCCTCAGGGTTCCATTTTGTCCCCCATGATGTTTAACATATACATGAAACTGCTGGGAGATGTCATCCATTTGGAGTACGGTGCCACCTATATGCAGATGACACCCAACTCTACTACTCCATTCCACCTAATGCCAAGGAAGCTATCCTGACCCTAAACCAGTGCCTGTCATCAGTAATGGTCTGGATGAGGACAAACAAATTGAACCTTAATCCAGACAAGACAGAGGTACTCCTGGTCAATTGGAAGGCATCTCAATCAAAGGCACTGATGTTCTTCAAAGAGATTGTGCAGAAAGCATTTTAATATAGCTAATTTCCAGCAGAATTCTCAGCAGCTGAATAAAAAAAAATAATAATCATTACAACAATTTAGGGTTTTTGATTGTTCATGATATTTTGATAGCAATCCTATTGAATTCCCCATCATGGATTTGTTTTATTATAAAGACATATAAAGTAACACAGATATTATTTTTATAGAATCATGAAATTTCATGTTGCCAAAAGGAAGTTTAAAGAAACCTTGCGCCCCTATGATGTGAAAGATGTAATCGAGCAGTACTCTGCAGGTCATCTGGACATGCTGTGCAGAATTAAAAGTCTTCAGTCACGGTAAAAAAAAATACCCCCTTCTACAAAATAATCCTGTATGAATTACCTCAGTCTTTAATGTGGCTACAAGTTGTTTTGCTCATTTAATATTCTTGTTTGGTATTGATTTTCTTTTTGCTATTGCAAGCTATGATCTTCCTCATTATACTTTCATTCCTCAGTACCTACAGATAAATATGCATACACCAAACAGTTGTCACTGAGCTTTGGCAGCTGGCAAGCTGGTTGTAAGGCAGCTCCAACTGTCTTTCTGACAGAATCAGACTATCACTGAAGACACCTGAAGACAAAAATAAAAATATTACGTATTGGAGTGGGCATGTATATTTGTGTATTTAACTGTCTTGCAGGGTTGACCAAATTCTTGGAAGAGGACAAATTGCCCCGGATAAAAAAAGTCGAGAGAAGAATGCTTCAGAGAATGAGACAGCTGATGACCTTAGCATGCTAGGGCGTGTTGTCAAGGTGGAAAAACAGGTAACAGTACTTTGAATAATAGTGTTCCGTTTTATTTTATCCATCAACCATTAAAAGAATTAAAACATGTTTGATCTTTGCAATGATAAATCTTTTTTTTCCTGTCTCCACACAAGGCAATTGTATGTGAAATGATCATGCTGGAGGCCACTGTGTCAATCAATTTCACCTCTTGACATTTCACTGATGTCAGTTGAGTCTGCACTAGTATAATCGTCATTTGTCTGCAAGACTGCAAGTCATAATATAATTTCCAGAGATTTTGGTCAAACTTCATTGAGGCTGCTCAGACTGGCCTGTTGACTAGATGACAAACTTTTGATTACATTCTTTTTTGAACAGTTTGAACTGACCACTAAGCCTCATTTGGACACACACACACCCCTTCCCCCTCAGTATCTATTAGTCTTATCCAAAGGTTCCAACAGTAGCTGGCTTTTTTGGCCATTGCAGTTTGCTTGCCAACTTCTTCAATTTCAAAACACAATGCTCAGAGGAATTTGATCTCTTAACAGCTTTACAGATTGAGCTCTTTCCTGCCACATTTTGCATTGCTTTGTCTTCTTTTCCTTATCTGCCTGTGTGCTTTTGTGGAGAAATCTTTTCTCCCAACAGCTATAGAAAGAAGAGGAGGACAAGGGAGACAGTGGTTGTGGTGGCAACAACTGCCCTGCCATTCCTTCTTCATAGTTGAACAAGATTGTGGTGCGTAACTGGCAACTTTAAAAAAAAAATCCATTGCTTGTTTCCAGTTCTGGGAGCAGATGCCAGGAGAAGTTATGGGGAGATGGTCATTCATAGGTTCCTGTGCACAGCTGATTTTCTAGTTATCTCCCAAATGACCTTGCTCCCAGGATACATGGGAACATGCAAGGCAATCTTACATGAATTATTTGCCACATCCCATCCTCCTCTTTCTGCAGAGACATGGTGATTCAAAAGGTGCCACTGTTGCTCTAGCCACCTTGGTTCTCCTTCTTTCTTCTTCCTCTCATGGCCAACAGAAGAAGGAACGTGATAAGCTGGTAATGCAGCAACCAACCACAATATTTCCTTGTACTAAAAAATGAAGGTGGTTGGCTGAAGATTTTGGAGGGGAGAAGCAAGATTGATCTCCAACACACTAATGGTGCTCACATCCATTGCTTGAATTTTCACATAAAATAAACTTTTTTGAGTCTCTGTATGAAGAGGAAAAGGTATATAAATAAGCACAATAATAATAAATTTAAACAGTAACCCTGTGTGCATTTGCTTGCCTTCCAAATAGCATACACCCTATGACACTCACAGACTATTTTCTTCTTCCCATTCCAGGTCCAATCTATAGAGTCAAAATTAGACTCGCTACTCGATATCTATCAACAGGTGTTGAAGAAAGGATCTCTGTCTGCACTAACTTTGGCTTCATTTCAAATGCCACCTTTTGAATGTGATCAAACCTCTGATTATCAAAGTTCTGTAGATAGCAAAGAGTTGTCTAATTCTGCCCAGACTAGTGAATGTGTATCCAGATCTGCCAGTGTCAACATGCCGTGTGGCCTCCAACTTATCCTGACACCAAATGAATTTAACCCTCAAGCTTACTATGCTTTTAGCCCAACTATGCATAGTCAAGCCACACAGGTGCAAAATGACGGACCTGTCGTTCTATCACCTAACAATGCACTAAACCAAATAAATCAGGCATCGAAGCCAACAACGCCTACAACATTACAAATACCCCCTTTTTCATCAGTAAAGCATATCAACAGGCTGGAACCTATACATATTATTCCTGTGAGCCCACAGGAAAATACTTCTGATGTCACCGCTTGCCTTGTTGCTTCTAAAGATAATGGACAAAATGCAAAGTCCAGCGTGACAAAGGACAAATCATGGAGGAAAAGCCTTGATACAGAAGGAGAGCCCCTAATCTCAGTGAAACCAATCGCGCAAATGGACATAGGGAAATCACTGTCGGTTCAAAATCTTATACAGTCAACAGCAGAAGAACTGAATGTACAGATTTCTGGAAGTGAAACCAGTAGTGCGAGAGGCAGTCAAGAATTATACAGCAAATGGAGGGAATCAAAATTATTTATAACTGATGAAGACTTGGAAGCAGAGAGAGAAAGTGAGACTTTTGAGGCCATTTCCCACCCATTGGTGGAAACCACTCTCTCTACAGACTCTCTGAGGACTGGAATGTCAAGATCATCTCAAAGCATTTGCAAGCCAGCAGACTGTACTGATACTCTCAGCCTGCCTCATGTCAAACTTAAATAGCATTTTGTGGATTTTTTTCCAGATGCTGAGTAATCCTTTCAGTCATACATAGCAGAGCATGGACTATTTTGAAACCCTTTTAATGTTTTTTTAAATTAAATTAATTGGGAAGAAAGGCAGTTGTATGAGTCCATATCTTTCAGATGCATGAAAATGCATGTTTAGGTGACTGATAACATTCTAATTTATACCTACAGTACACCATTGCTTTTGTTTAGTACAGTAGGTATAAATAGGAATCCCCATGCTTCAGGTTTATTAAAGAACAAAGAGATCTGAACATTTGGAACCTATGGTACAGTATTTCTATAGTACATAAAATTTACATGACATGTAAAGCACTTTGTTTCTGCTTTAATTTAATACTACATATGACCAGAAACAGACCACGCTAAGTTTACAACAACAAACTTATCAACAGCTGCTACTGAAGGAAACCTGTTAATATGAGATGAGAAATGGCTGCTAGTTGCAAGCTAAGATGAATTGGCTATTTTAGAAGAGTGTTTATTTCTATATTTCTTTGAAGATATAGAATTCAGACAAAATATTTTGCACAGCACTTTTTTAGAGATTTGTTTTGTGACTGAACATTTTTACTATAAAATGTTCTAAATTCCAGATCATCAGGGAGGACTTTCAGTGTGAAATGTTCTCTCATTTTCCAATCTCACTGATGGCCTCCTTGTGGAGATAGGTAGAAGTCTCTTGTGGAGATAGGCAGAAGGGAAAAACGGATACTTGATTGTAAATGTCATATTTTATCCTTTTAGCCCATTGTCCCGTTTTCTGAGGTTGAACGATAGCACAATCAGAGGCTGCAGAAAAGAAAAGCACCAGATTAAGACAAATAATGAAAGAAAGAATCACGATTAAATGAAAGTATACACTTTTTTAAAAAGTAGTTAAGAATATACATTTATTTTTTTAATGGGTCTATAAAGAAAGAGATAGGAAGAATAGAAAAAGAAAGGAAGAAGCTGGAAAAAGTTTTGAAATAAAAATGTTACCTTAACAGTTCTGAAGGCTATCTGTCAGATTCTTCAAACATGTGTACTGGCAAGAGATGAAGGCTTATCTCCTGCCCATACAGCCCTTTCCTGTTCTGTTCTGTTGGGTTTTTTTAACTAATGCTTCTTTCGAATGTATGTTTCATAATTGTCTCCCTCCCAAACATTATCCACATCCCTTTCAACAAACCGATATGGCTTGTCAATTTCTCCCTTACGTTTGTTCTCTAGTTTCATGTCCCAATTTCTTTTACTTTAATCTTCAGTTTTAGTTGAACGGACCTGAAGCAACAATACTGATTAATATTTACAGTTTCATACCTGAACTTTGTTACTGAACTCTTTTAAGAACCAAAGCACATTCCAGTCCCAATCCCCACTATTAATATTAATAGTTATGGTATCTCCCAAGAAATATATGCCTTGGGTATATGCTCGCGAGCAAGATATGCTGTGTCCAATTTTTTCTAATGATTCCAAGGCATTCTACAGATTGTCTGGTCCCAGTACTAGCTGAGAATGTAATGGTTTGCGAGCCAAGAAAGAAGGCACACAAAATATCTCAAGAGTCTTAATGGTGGTTAAGTGCTACAAGCAATTTTAACTATTTACTCTGAATTGGTTATAATTTCTGCCTCTGTTGTTCAGAAGGATTTTCTGGCTGTAATTATTGTGGATAATCTTATTATGTGAAAATACAGGTAAACCAGAGAGTGTTTATGCTGTATCAGTCTTACATAACCTTCAAATGATAATGTCCTATAGCTTTCCCTGTTCTAATTCCAACAAAAGGCATCCTGAAGCACAAGGGCTATCTTTTATTTTCCATCGTTATCTTCACAAGTTGCTGTATCCCATTTTGTTGGTGGCTGTAGTGTCTTTGTGCTTATATCACAGATAATAACTGGAGGGCTCTGGGCTAAGTTTGCCTTCCTCTGAGAGCATCTGTCTGTTCCTAAAATTGTCAAACCAAACAGAAAAGAAGGTATTGATCAGCTGCCTCTGTGCTTTGATGGTGTGGCTTGACTCCCAGGTCAGCATTGCCTACTGCCTAAACCCAGATTAAAGATTCTGGGTTTAAACGTTTTTTAATTTGGATTTCTTGGATTTAGGGTATGTTCAACCAGACAAGGCATTCAGTGTTTAAAAATTTCAAAATACATACACTACTCCCTTTCCTTATTTACTGAATGTTCTCTAGTGCCTTTTGTGCTTTGCACGAAGCCTCCTAAGTCTCTCCTTAAGCATAACATTGGAGCTAGTGCAAAAGCACAAGCCAAGCAACATTTGTTCCAAGATCTGTTTCCCTTTTTGCAATTAGAAACATGAGGTATCACCTTCCCATATGTCTGTAGAGACAACAGCATCCCCATATTTCCAGTGTAAGCAGAGCAGATTGCTGCTGCAAGGCAACTTTAGTTACTTCACCAACTAGAAACTGCTTTTTTGCCTTAAATACACAGCATACTTGAGTTCTCATAGTGTTCATTATGCACATATTAATGTATGAGGGAGTGGCTATTTTCAAAAATGCAAACAAATTAGTAATTCCCTTGCAAAATTGCAACAAGCCATTTGCATTCCCTCTCCTCCACTCCTTTTGCTGGTTTTTACTAATGCTTTTTCAAAGCAATTTCTCCCCACTGTTAGTTAAGTTGATGAGATTTTAGAGGCATTAATAGCTGAAGCTTTTCATCAGAATGTTTAAGAACAGGATAGTATTCCTCATGCCTTTGTTGGGAGATCTTATGTGCACAACAGAGAATGTGAATAATGTTATACCATACTAAAATCATTAAGAAAAATAGTTTTTGAAAAGATATCCTTCCTGCTTACTGAATCCTCAACATCAGATCCACATGGGTAGCTTACTGTCATGCTGAATACTACTGAACATGTCATAATGAATGTACAGTGTGCAGTACAGTGGAAGAGCCAGTATTTTCCTTGATTATGCATTGGGACTTTTATATCCAATTGTACATTAGAATATATGAAAACTGTAAAATGTACACACAGAGCTGGGAATTAATGTATTTTGATGCACATGTCAGTGTTCCTGGTTGGAGAAAGGAATAATAATAATAATAATAATAATAATAATAATAATAATAATTTTGATGACCATATATTTTACAAATATGTATTTTCTTCTGCTTATTATATTTTCATTTAAATATGAATAGAGTGTTTGAAGCTAGAATTCAATGTGGCAAATATTGCACACTTTTGTTCATATGGCCCATATTCTGTATGGGAGGTAATCATACTGAAATTGGCTGTTGTCATTAAATATGGTAGCAGATATCTCAACCCTTCTGTACCCAGGCAAGTCATTCTTGAACACTTTTTAAAGTGCACTGTTGTTGACTTGGGACTTTTGGTCCCTAATGAATTAAAATTTCCTGAGGAAATAAACTCGTATCCCAATTAATCCATATGTCACATTGACTCTAAAAAATTGCACAAACTATTAACATAAAAAGAATAACGTGAAGAAAAAGCACAGAACAAAGTAGATTTTAGTGAAATACACACACATATATAAAGGAACAAAGACAGCTGAGGCCTGTTTTCTCTGAATTTTGCCCCACTGAACTCAGTAGATCTGCTCTTGGTTACCACAAACAGAAGGATAGATTTTTGTTTTTTGTTTTTAATATGAGTCATCATATTTGGGTAGAATGAACAAGTGGAAAATCAGGGATGGAAGGTGGTTGAATCAGTGTTAAATTAATTTGTAGGCAATGTCTCATTTCAGCCTAAATGTACTGCAGCCTCAATTCGTCCTAAATGTGCAAACATTTCAGCATCTAATGGATTAGCACATAAAAACATGTTTAGGATTGGTCCTTAATAAATGAATATGAGACAAGCATTTATCCCTGCATGATTCTGTTGACTTTACTGGATTAATCTATAGAGCAGTTTAATTTGCCCTTCTGGTCTATTTCTTCCTCTGGTTGGAAGAAAATATCACTTACTTTGATGGGGCTATAAAAAGGCAGATTTTAAGGGAAGGCAAGTGGTGTTGCCTTGTTTTTCTTTATTGTACCCTCTTCACCAAGAATTATCTCAATATATTTACAAATTTTTGCTGTACCTACTTATTTGTTTAACAGGTTTTATAAAGCTCTGTCTGAGTCATTCAAACACATATATACTTCCACTAACAATACATCTTTGGCCATTAAGAGTGTTATTTGATACTAACCAATGTCAGGGGGAAATGCTGAGAGGATATATGACTGTAATGGAAGCATATAAGGGATATTTCCACTGATGCTCAAATGGTATTGGCCATGACGTTAGAATAAAATGTTAATTGCAATTTCATGACAAACTGAATCCATATTGTTGTTAATAAAATGCATTTAAAATACGGTATTTGTGTTCTTTTAAACATGAAGAAATGCTGATAAATTATTTCATGTTATATTTGACTTGTTCACTCCTGTGGTGCTTTTACACTGTAGAATTAATGCAATTCGACTCCACTTTAATTGTCAGGGCACAATGTTAGGGATTCATGGAAGCTGTAGTTTTACAAGGTTGTTAGCCATCTCTGTTAAATGGTGAGCCATCACAGTTGAAGTGATGTCAAACTGCATCAATTCCACAATGTGGATACACTCTGGGTTAAACGTGCAGCAGACCTAAATACAAGACTTCATTCAGCACACAAGTTACATATAATTTCCTTCTCTGCTAGCTACTGCTTGAGTGTTCAAGAATCTCCTATTACCTTGCCTAGGATCCTTTTATATTCTTGCTGATTCATAATCTCTCCAGTCCTGACATCAAAACTATATTACGGGATCTTGCAAACCAGGAGGTGCCAAATGCTTCTGTTGCCTTCCTGCATCTTCACTGAGGATCTTGCAGCCATCTGGCAGAATTCTTAAAATAACTAAAATACAAATTTTTCATCATGGTTGCTGGGTGATTAAAATTTTTTTAAAGAACAAAAGATCATGAATCAAAATTACAAGTCAGGACAAGCAAAAAAAATGGAATGAGAGTGATCCTTAAACTGATTTAAGGAATGCATGCTGGAATCCAATGTAGTTATACTTTTGAGGAAATGCCATTGAATCCAGTGCATTAAAAAATGTGCAGACAATAGAAGTTAAGTGCCAGTAATTAACTTTCCCAAGTGGCAACTATATTGTACAATGCATGCAGTTTGACACTTTATTATTTATTTATTTATTTATTTGTTTATTTATTTATTTATTTAAAACATTTATATTCCGCCCTTCTCACCCTGAAGGGGACTCGGGGAGGAGCACAGCATATATATGGCAAACATTCAATGCCAGGACACAAATTCTTATATACATACATAAACATTAAAAACATTTATCAAAATATTAAAATACACCATTTAAAACCGTCCTAGTCATCCACGTCAAATCTAATTGGTCTGGTAATCTTTTCTATTGCTGCTTTATTGCCCTGTCCTGAAAGCTTGGTCCCACAGCCAAGTTTTTACCATCCTTCTAAAGGACAGGAGAGAAAGGGCCAACCTGATCTCACCAGGAAGGGATTTCCATAGCTGAGGAGCAATCACCAAGAAGGCCCTGCCTGTCTTCCCCACCAATTGTGTCTGTGACAATGGCGGGACGGAAAGCAGGTCCTCCCTGGAGGATCTTAATCCCCGCAATGGTTCATATGGAGAGATACATTCGGACAGGTATTTTGGGCCAGAGTTTAGGGCTTTATAGGCCAAAGCCAGCACTTTGAATTGTGCCCGGTAGCAAACTGGCATTTGGTGGAGCTGGCGCAACATGGGAGTTGTATGCTCCCTGGATGCTGCCCCAGTTATTAACCTGGCTGCCTCTCGTTGGACTATTTGAAGCTTCCGAGCAGTCTTCAAAGGCAACCCCACATAGAGTGCATTGCAATAGTCTATCCTAGATGTAACAAGAGCGTGGACCACCATGGCCAAGTTTGACTTCCCAAGGTACGGGCACAGCTGGCGCACAATTTTTAATTGTGTGAACGCTCCCCTGGCCACAGTTGCCACCTGGGATTCCAGGCTCAGTGATGAGTCCAGGAGGACCCCCAAGCTGCGAACCTGTGCCTTCAAGGGGAGTGTAACCCCATCCAGCACAGGTTGTGACCCTATACCCTGTTTGGCCTTGCGACTGAGCAGGAGGACCTCTGTCTTGTCTGGATTCAACTTCAATTTGCTCGCCCTCATCCAGACTATCACAGTGGCCAGGCACCGGTTCAGGATTTGGACAGCCTCCTTAGCATCTGGTGGAAATGAGTGATAGAGTTGGACGTCATCTGCGTACAGATGGCATCAAACTCCAAAACTCTGGATGATCTCACCCAGCAGCTTCATGTAGATCGCCATACTCTTCACTCCCACTTTTACTTGAAAGTTTGGTGTCACATTCCTAGCTGAGCTCAATAGTTCCTAATTAGGAGTGTGTTTTTGTTTTTACTCCGCCCCAAGAATTCCTAACAATTAGCCAAGCTAGATGGGGCTTCTGGGAGTTGAAGTTCCCAAAAAATCTTGAGGACCAAAAGTTTGGAACCACTGGGAGACATTGGGCCCTTCCAGACTGGCCCTATATCCCAGGTTTTCTGTTTATCCCAGATTATCTGACAGTGTGGATTCATATAATCCAGTTCAAAGCAGAAAACCTGGGATCAGATCCTGGGATATAGGGCCTATCTGGAAGAGCCCATAGGCTACACCAGGCATGGGCCAATTTGGGTCCTCCAGGTGTTTTGGACTTCAACTCGCACTATTCCTAACAGCTCCAGACAGTGTGGACTCATATAATCCAGTTCAAAGCAGAAAACCTGGGATCAGATCCTGGGATATAGGGCCTATCTGGATGGGCCCATAGGCTACACCTGGCATGGGCCAATTTGGGCCCTCCAGGTGTTTTGGACTTCAACTTGCACCATTCCTAACAGCTCCAGGCCCTTTCCTTTCCTCAGCTTAAGTGACTGAGGGGGGAAAGGAAAGGGCCGAAGGCTGTTAGGAATGGTGGGAGTTGAAGTCCAAAACACCTGGAGGGCCCAAATTTGCCCAGGCTTGGGCTACACCTACACTGTAGCATAATCTGACTCCCCCTTAACTCCTATGGGATCTTGGGAGTTGTTGTTTTCCAAGATCTTAAGCCGCCTCTACCAGAGTGTTGGTACCTGGTCAAACCATAACTCCCTGAGTTCCCTAGCACTGTAGAGGCAAAACAACCTGGCACCATTTTTCCCTGCCATGACTCAATGCAGAGGCTTGTAGTTTTATGAGGCACCAACACTCTTGGGAAGAGAAGGCCTGCCAAAGTACAAACTTCGACGGGCATTGAGCTATGGCAATGAAAAGTGGTGTCAAATTGCATTCCTATGAGAAGCCATTGTGTGGAGAAGTGGCAGAAGAAGAAGAAGAGGAAGAATTTCCCTCCTTTCCCCCTCCCCTCAGAGGCAGCTCCTTTTTGAAATGAGGGCCTCGCGTGCCTTCAGCAGCACAGCCAATCACCTCTCGAGAAGGAAGGGCGTTCCGGCCAATCACAGCGTCCCCTGGCGCCTGGCGGTTGAGAGCGGCACGCGAGGCGTTTGGCGCAGAGGAGCAATGTCTGACTGGGAGGACGAGGGCGACGAGGCCGAGCCCCGCGGGACGCCCTCCTTGCCCGAGTGGCGCCCCAAGGCCACCACGGCCCCTCGCGAGGACCACGGGGAAAGGGGCAGGGGCGGCCACCGGGGCGGGAGAGGGGCCCCGTGGCCGCCGTCGAGAGGAGGAGACCCCGCGGGAGCGCCGCTCTGCTTCTTCCTGGACAACGCCCTGGTCGGCGCCCTCATAGGTAGCCATGCCCCAGGGGCGCCCTGCACACCACCCTGCATGGTGGCCTATAGAATGAATATGCCTTCTTGTCACTGCTTCAGTTCACTGCCCTGGCTCCATGCTACGGAATCCTGGGAGTTGTACTGCTGAAGAACTACCACTCTTCCACAGAGAAGGGGAAAGACCTTGCCAAACTACAGCTCCCAAGATTCCGTGGCCTTGTAAAACTGCAGCTCCCAAGATTGTGTGGCCTTGTAAAACTACAGCTTCCAGGATTCCACGGTCTTATAAAACCACAGCTCCCAAGAGTCTGTGGTCTTGTAAAACTATACCTCCCAGCGTTCTTTGGCCTTGTAAAACCCCAGCTCCCAAGAGTCTGTGGTCTTGTATAACTATACATCCCAAGGTTCTTTGGATTTGTAAAACTACAGCTCCTAAGATTCTGTGGCCTTGTAAAACTACAGCTCCCAAGCGTCTGTGGTCTTGTAAAACGATATCTCCCAAGGTTCTTTGGCCTTGTAAAACCCCAGCTCCCAAGAGTCTGTGGTCTTGTAAAACTACAACTCCCAAGATTCCACGGCCTTGTAAAACTACAGTGTAGCTGCAGTCAGGGTTACAAAGAATTAAGTCCCATTGAAAGCAACAGCAGATATTCTGCAGCCTTTAAAAGTTTGGGATTACGAGTGGCCATTGCCACAAAGTTTCAGGCACCTTAGGTCCATGGGCCGGTATAAATAAACGTTTTAAGAAAACTCATGCTGATTACACAAAGTGGTGAAATGGAAATTTCTAACAAACTTATTTGGACTGAACTCAACCAGAATACTTATACAGTAGACTTTCAGTTGACTGGCATCCATATGGATTGCAATTTCTGTTTGAATGTAATTTCTGGTTTAGAGTTACTATTTTTTTTAAAAAAAACCCTAACTAATACTATACACCATATTATACCATATCATGAACTCAATATTGATATAGTAATTGAAAGCTAATTAAAACATAGAAAGACCAACTTAATGTAACACATTTTGTATATTATAAAAAACAGCTTTAGGAATGTAGCATTGTGTCTTTGATTTTTTTTTCTGGTTGCTTGAGAGTTCCAGTTGCTTGAGTTCTGGCTGTGAGTGAGCTCTACTTGGGACCCTTCCACACAGCCCTATATCCCAGAATATTAAGGCAGAAAATCCCACATTATCTGAGTGTGGACTCAAACCCAGCTCAAAGCAGATATTGTGGGATTTTCTGCCTTGATATTCTGGGTTATAGGGCTGTGTGGAAGGGCCCCCAGTTCAAAGCAGATATTGTGGGACTTTCTGCCTTGATATCTTGGGATATAGTGCTGTGTGGAAGAGCCCTTGGTATTAGCTTTTTAGACTTTAGTTCTGAACACACTAGATAAGAATGAAGGTCCTCTGTACAGAATGGGAATTTATTTCTAAATGAACATGCACAAGGTTACACCATAGGTAGCTTAGGTCAAGAACCATTGAGAGATAGAGGAAAGAAAGAAAGTGTAAAGGCATAGTAGCTCAGCTCTACTGAAAGGAGTCCCATAACTGTTTCCCTGCAACCTTGAAATCAAACTCAACCAAACCCATGCAGCATTGTGTAAATTAATAAATTGTACACAACACCCTTGGTACTTGCTGTTGTTTGGTGCCATAGGTAATGGATGTTCAAGTCCCATTATATAGTGGGCATATAAAATGGCAAAACAAAGAAGGGAACAATATTTTCAAGCTGTGGATTGTGGAATGAGTAAATGCCATATCTGGATACGGAGGGGTGACAAATGTCAAAGAACATTCTTACTACTGTGCATAATAACCTGATACAGCACAAGTATCCCCCCCCCAAAAAAAAAACTGGCAGTCAGTAATAAAAAATAGGACTAAGATATACTGTATGTGTGTTTGTGACAGACGAGATTACTTATGCCCTAGCATAACATGGTGAGGAATAATAGTTGGGAGGCTGCATAGTGATGGGAGTTGATCTGTTAGTAGAGCAGGACTGCATAGTGTGGTACAGTTCGGTTAACAAGTTACTTCAAAGACCAAGAATGTTGACAGATTTAAGAAAACCATTCCTAACTACAGTGTGTATTTATGATCAAGTCTACTCCTAAAATCCTCTTGGGTGTTTTAGCTTGGCTCTTCTTTCCACATGGAGATAATATGTGTGAAAAAAAGCTTGTTCATGCTCATGTACAATAGTTATGCAAATACTGCTTCACTGTGGCTCTGTGAGCAAAGTGGTTTCTGTAAACCATGAGTCATAGCTTCATTTATTGTACAGTGAAATATTGACTAGGAACTGTTCACCTAGGAACCCTAGGAACCGTTCAGTAGTACTTCTAAAAAATTTAATTTGATATTTCCATCTTTTATTTATTTAACAATGTTTGCACTTTATCAGCAGATGTGTGCACCGTTGTCTCCCCCAATTTAATTTATTCCCATTGGGGTGTGGCCAGATTTTGTAAATGTGTTAATTCACTTTTATAACAGGTCGAGGTGGATCTACAATTAAAGAGCTTGAAGATTCATCAGGTTGTAAAATAAAGGTGAGAGGTTTGTATTTATGTTTAAAATGCAACCTTTTTTTTTTTTTTTTTTTTTTTGCTTTTTGTGATTTTGCAAAAAAAAGTTGTGGGAAATAATTTAGCATTGAATTATTCCTTTTTAATACCAAAGGAAATTAAATTTGCCCTTCTTTAAAGGAATAAATCAGAAAGCTAATTAGAATAGAAAAGTAGTAATAGGATCTGCTTCAAGGGGAGGACAACTCCCCATTTAGTCCATGAATCGTTACCAAATTATCCCTCCATGAAGCTTAATTTGAACTGTTGAATGACCTCTGAGTTTGATATGTTTAGAATTGTCCTGAAAGGGAATTTCAGAAGAGAACTTCTATTATATAGTTATCCATCAGTTTAGTGATACTAAAGTTATAATGAAAATTATTGACGCACCACACACCGCAAGAATTCTTTTTTTCTCCCTAAAAACAATCTGAGTTGTGCAGATTTACTTACTCAAGTAAGATAATCAATGCATTGTCCATTTGATTTTGGAGGCTACCATTTCAGTTGCTACAGCCTAAGTACATAGACAAGTTATGGGTGCTTGTGAGGCCAATCATTTGCCCTCTCAGGCTAGTGAAAGAGAGTTTACATGTGGAGTCCAGAATTTGTAAATACATCATTGTTTGAGGGGTGGTGCTAAGTACTAGTCAGAGAGGCTGCTGCCTCTCTTGTAGAAGCCCGTTCTGAACTCAAAAGTATTGGGAGAACAATGAATGGAATATTTAAACTGCTTGTATCATTTTAAATCCCTCAAGAGCTGTCAGAGAGAGGAGGGTGCAGACTTGTTCTTTGTTGTCTCAGAGACTAGTGGTTTAGAACATCATTCTAAACCCATCCCAAACTAATCTTCAAGGCATCTTTCAGCTTCCAATCACATACTTAAAGAATTTTAGAAAGTGGGTTCTTTTGTATGGTGACCATGAATTCACTTCAGCCATAGGTTTTGAGAGCTGTGACATAATTGTGATTTTGTAGTAAGCTGGCCTTCTCAGCTGCAAAGCAAAAGTTAGCCCTTCCTTCTTTATTGTCCCAATCATTTCCTTTAAAAAACCTAAAAAATTAAATGTAGGAACTTCAAAGGTTTGTGGCTGCACCAAACCTCTAATATCTATGTCTCATGTTAATGGAACATTTCCTTTTCTTCTAAAGCAATAACATTTTTAGAACTTCCTGTTAATGTAGGGGTTTTTTTGCATTGTTAACAAAAACTGTTAAAACTAAATCTTGCCAAATAAACACAGTAGAAAAAGTCTTGACATTGCAAAGTTCTCATTTTTAATGAATTTGTTAAGTGTCCATATGAATGGTTCAAGACTGAAAACCTGGAAGTCCAGAAGTGCAGGTTCAAACCTCTAAATTCTCAGGGCATCGCAGTTCTTAATTAAATAGCAAGCAGGTTTAAAGATGGGGAATGTATGGTTTGGGAAGGATTATGTCCCCGTAGTTGCAGTAGTAAGCTAAATTTGCTTTGAGGTTTCTCAAAGCATGTTTGAAAAGCCTAGGTGTAATAAGAAGGCATTATCCCATTTCAAGTAAGATAGGTTTATGACAGCAGAACCCATTTTAGAAGGCTTAGAATCATAGAATAATAGAGTTTGAAGAGATCATATGGGCCATCTAGTCTAACCCCCACCATGCAGGAAAACACAATTGAAGTTTCCCTGACAGATGACCATCCAGCCTCTGTTTAAAAGTTTCCAAGGAAGGAGCTTGTGTGATAATGTCCATAGACATAGAACTGTAGAGTTTTAAGAAACACTAGGGGTTGGGCATAAAGAATTTAGGGATAACTTACGGTATTCCTTCTAATGTTTGATCCTTATACTAAAGTGAAATCTAATTTTTAGATTGTGCGGGGAGATTATGAAGCTGAAGTAAAAGTATTTGGAGGTAATGATAAGAAAAGGAAAGCCAAAATGCTGATTGATGATCTTATTGAAAGATCTAAACAAAGCAGTGCAGGAGAAATGTGTGTTAAAGGTAAGAATCTTAAATTTGGGGTGCATTTTGTGTTTGAACCTCCTCTGTTGCCTAATCCTGCCACTTTAAAATTCAATAATAGTCAGTAAATCAGTTCTTGAGGTCTTTATGAATACAGAAACCGTTTTGAGATGATAAAGGATTTCCAGAATGTAGAACTTTCTTCATGATGTGTCTAAAAATAAAACATTCTTTTTGTTAGGATTATTTTGATGTTTTATACTGTTTTTTATCGATGGCATTGAATTGTTGCCAACACTGTGAACTGCCCTGAGTCCCCTTTGGGTTTGAGAAGGACAGTATACAAATACCACAAATAAATAAATAGTCTTTGATGGTTCTGATTAAACCTTTCATCTGAAAACAACCTCAACTGTGTAATTTAAACTGAACAGTAATTGACACAAAAATGTTATATCATATCTGCACCTGTTTTTTGTTTAAACAGATTCTTTCAAACAGCAAGATGGAAGAACTTACCATAATGAAAGCTGTTCTGGAGCTTTTAATCTTAAACAGTCTATTAACTGGGCCTCTCTTCGAGAAAATAAAGCTAAATATGAAGCTATGAAATGGGCTGGTTAGTGTAACATTTTTAAGGAATTTCATGCGTTATTACGCTTGTCATTTGCCTTCTTAACAAAGCATGTGTCTGCTTACTGAGTGTGCCTAATTTATTATAACTCCGTGGTCTCTGGTGACTGGTAAAAGCAATGTGGCCAATTGCAGTGGCCTAGGAGCCAACTTTCTAATCCTAGAATTCTCCAGGGGACTGCAGAGACTACCAAAACCCGAAAACAAAATACAAAGTGGAAAGCATTAGGAGACATTTAGCCCAGGAATCACGTGAGCCCCTCAACGCACATTCTGTCTCTTCATGAGGTTCTCAACCCTCACCTCAAACATGCACCCACATGCTAAATTGTTTTCCCAGATGCTTATTGGGACACAAGCGATCATAGCCACCAGAGAGTTTTTGGTTCATGTGACAACATTTCAGCAAGCTCTGGTGTTTTATTTGTATTTTAGAGTTTTCTTTCCTTAGTCAGCCCTCCCATATCCACGGGCTCTGGACTAGTGGATTGTGCCAACAACACATTCAAAATAAACAAGACAATTCACAACATACGAAACAAATGAACAAGATGCAGGACTAGAAAGAGGAGCCAAGCTGGAGATTATCAGAAAATTTATTAATTGACAGGTATCCAAAAATAGTGCTTAGCACAAATCCATGGCCCCCACTATTTCACAGACCTTCAGTCCCTCTAATTGATCATCTGTGGATTTTGGTGTCTGCAGAGGGTCATGCAGTCAATCCCCAAAAGTTATGACGAGTCTATTGCATTTTTTATCTAGTGAATGAATCTCTCTTCATTTTTAAATACAAAGTTTTGAAGTTTCAGTTACTAAAATGTTACGTCATTTAAAACTATTCATGGTTTATTGATTTCATTTCTTTGGGAGAGCCATACATTTATGTTTGGTGTATTTATTGTATGTTTATATATCATATATATACTTTATAACCAATTCTTGCAGGTCTTGTTTGAACTACATCCTTCCCGAAATAGCCTGTTTGCATGGAGGGTAACAAGATTCTTAAAAATTGCTATGTGAACAAAGTTTATTTTTGCCTCTTGGCTATTATAGAAAAGTATCTAAATCAAGTATCCAGAGTTTTTTTGTTTGCGTAAGCCTCTCATCTTCTGAATGGAGTGTTCCTATTTTCACAATGCAAGGAATTGTCACATTGCCGGCAAGATTTTCAACTCCATCAGCATTCAATATAATCTTGGCTAATAATATGGGAATGTGTTTTCTTTGAATATTTTAGCAGTAATTTTTCATTTGATTTTACTAGATCTTCCTCCACTTGAAAAATGTTTTTATAAAGAATCACCAAAAATTGCTTCTATGTCAAAAGAAGAGGCTGATAGTTGGAGGTAAAAAAAAAATTATTTGGAAACTTGTGTACTGTATCGGATATTACAGTGGCTTGAGGGTGGGTAGGTATACTAGCATATGGAATTGTGGGAGATATATGTACAGCTTCTTCGGTTATTTTTGAACAGTGTATATCTGTTCTCACTGGGAGTAAGTGGTTTCATTGGTTTTGGTTATACCATGATGTATTATTTTTAAATTGTTGCAAAGAATGTATAGAGAGAGAACAGAAGGATTTTTCTTTATTCTGTAATTAAAAAGTCCTCAGAAATACTGACATTTCTAATCCAGTTTGTGTGTAATTTTCCAGGAATTGATAGATAATATTTCCCTATTAGTGGTATAATATCATTTCTTGATGTCTTTTGAAGAAAAGAAAACAATAATATCACTTGTGATGACCTGAAAGAGGGTGAAAAGCGTCACATCCCCAATCCCATCTGTAAATTTGAAGATGCTTTTAAACATTATTCTGACATCATGGCAAATATAAGGAAAAATGGGTTTCAGAAGCCTACTCCAATTCAGGTATCTTAGTGTTATTTAGTTTTATTTTTGTACTAACTCAAAAACTATAGTGTTTAACTTTCAGCACCTCAGTATACATTTCATTTCTGTTTTAGGCACAAGCTTGGCCGATCATACTTCAAGGATATGATTTGATTGGAATAGCACAGACAGGTACTGGGAAGACATTGGCTTATCTCATGCCTGGATTCATACATTTGGATTTACAACCAATGTAAGAACTAGAAGAATATGTTTTTGTGAGGGGAAGGGAGTGTTTATATTAACTCTGTAAGAGATCTAAAATATTGTTGAGTGTTTCTTAAAAGAGACGTTGCGAAAGGATAAAACAATGTCTGACCAATGCTGCTATTGACTTCCATATTTCACATTTGTATCTATTTTTTACATTTTATCCTGCTGTTCCTTACCAATTGATGATGGTAATAATTTTGATTATTTCCCATCTGTCTTGGCCTGTGGGTTTAGGCAAGGAACAACAAAGAATAATGCATAATATCAGTCAAAAAAGCACATGAAACCAATGAAACCTTCCTCTCTAGTGATACGTCACCATCCATCATTGTATCCATCATCACAAAAACTATTAAAAGTCTTCTATGACTTCAGTTCATCCACTCCCATTCCTTAGACTTCTGATTGTGATATCGATTACTCAAGCCTCTGAAGAATTGCAAATGCAGAATTTGTGGGTTTGCTTACAAAACTTTTCCAATCTTCTAGTCCAGCAAGGGCAGCTGTTGGAAGCTAGGGGGCACCATTACCCCCTTCCAACACAACCCCCTCCCAACTGTTTGCTCCAAAATGTCCCTCCCCCCATACACTCTATGGGACATTCGCAGGGATACCAAGGTGCTTGTTTATAAAGCTATTGTCCTCCCAACCCTGCTATACGCTTGCGAGACATAGACAGTGTACAGACGTCACATGCAACTCCTGGAGCGATTCCATCAGCGCTGCCTCCGGAAAATCCTACAAATCTCTTGGAAAGACAAGCAGACAAATGTCAGCGTGCTGAAAGAAGCAAAGACCACCAGCATTGAAGCGATGGTCCTCCGCCATCAACTCCGCTGGACCGGCCATGTTGTCCGGATGCCCAGCTACCGTTTCCCAAAGCAGTTGCTCTACTCCAAACTCAAGAATGGAAAACGGAGATTTAAAGATGGGCTCAAAGCCAACCTTAAGAACTCTGGCATAGACACTGAGAACTGGGAAGCCCTGGCCCTTGAGCACTCCAGCTGGAGGTCAGCTGTGACCAGGAGTGCTGTAGAATTTGATGAGGCACGAATAGAGGGCAAAAGAGAGAAATGTGCCAAGAGGAAGGCGCGTCAAGCCAACCCCGACCGGGACCGCCTTCCACCTGGAAACCAATGCCCTCACTGTGGGAGAAGATGCAGATCAAGAATTGAGTGCCACAGTCACCTACAGACCCACCGCCAGAACACCGACCTTGGAGGAGCATCATCCTCGGACTACGAGGGATCGCCTAAGTAAAGTATGGGCTATGTGGGTATTTTAGGCTCAAGAGTGACATTTTCAATATAGAAAATGACTGAAACCCATTGCTGGTTTGCTTCCAGCTTTAAAATGAGACCTTCCTTTGCTTTAAAGTGGCCCAGGGCCCCAAATCAAGTAAAATGTTTCCAAAATACATTTGGAGGCAAATGGGGCCCTTAGGGTCCCATGCTGCTTGCTCCTGCTCTTGTCTAACTTTGAGTTTCTGGTTATATTTCCATGGCTGTTACCATCTTGCTTAGACATGGAAGTCCATTTTCATGGGACTTGCACATTTTTCTAAGTGTGCCTATTTAAATATCTACTGGTGGTATCCAGCCCACAAGATAATGTAATGCTGCCATTCCCCTCTTAAACTAAAAACACACCCAACCTACTTTTTCTCCTATGTTGGTCCCAAAATGATAGATGTTGTAATAATACTTAGAAATCCATTTTTCATACCTATCCTGAATCACCATTAATCTAGGTTATTTGGCTTGCGCTGCTTTAATATAATTCTAGCCAAATCTGAGGTCCCTTCTACACTTCCATATAAAATTCAGATTATCTGCTTTGAATTGGACTATATGGCAGTGTTGTTCATTCGTTCAGTCGTCTCCGACTCTTCGTGACCTCATGGACCAGCCCACGCCAGAGCTCCCTGTCGGCCGTCACCACCCCCAGCTCCTTCAAGGTCAGGCAGTGTAGACTCATATAATCCAGTTCAAAGCAGATAATATGAATTATCTGCTTTGATGTTCTGGATTATATGGCAGTGTAGAAGGGGCCTAAATGATCCCAGTTTGCAATTTTCTTCTTTTCCTTTAGAGTTCTCTCCATAGTGGATTGTGAATAACTACAAATGCCTTTAAGATTATTTCCTTGGTGAATTTGTGCACTTTCCTATATAAATGTTATTTGAAGGATTCTGAACTTTTTGCAGACCTAGAGAAAAACGTGGTGGACCTGGTATGTTGGTTCTTATTCCCACTCGAGAATTGGCTCTTCAGGTTGAAGCAGAGTGCTTGAAATATTCCTACAAAGGAATTAAAAGGTAATATTTACCATATCCTTTATTTATAGCAGGAATGTTATAAGGTAGTATTTATATCTTTCTGTTTCAAATGCACAGTTATTTACTGGTTGACAACTATTTAACATCTAGAAATGTATGATACAATGGTTGTAACTATATGGATTACAGAAGATAATAGAAACGACTGCATTTAGAGAGTTTAGAGTTCTTCACTGCATTCTGGTTTTCAGTGTTAAAACTCTGTTTCTGTTTTAAATTAAAGGCGTACCTCAGTTAATAAAACATATTATTAGAAACTCCTTTTTACAGTCTTTTTATACTTGGACAGTGCTTCCCCCCCCCCCTTTTTTTTTCTCTTCCTGTTGTCTGGCTGGAGCAGTTTTAGCATCATCAGCCTTGGGAGTATGGTGAAGGAGGGCTGAAAAAGAGACGTTAAGCATCTTGTTACAGCAGTATATTTGTAGTAAACAATGAAATAATATGTATCTATAGCAGGCAAGGTAAAAGGCAACTGACTACAAAATTCCATACTGAGCATAGATGAACAGCAAGAGAGAAAAGGGAGAAAGCCAATAGTGTTGCCTACATGTTGCCCCCAATATGTTTTTTTTTATTAAAATAGAGAACAGAAAAAAGTGGAGGCTAGTAAAAGAAAAAGCATAAAAAAACAAAATGGAAATCAGAAAAAAAGTGGAGGCTAGTAAAAGAAAAAGCATAATTGGATGACTTTGGGAAAAGCTTTTAAGTGATCTCTACGAAGTTTAGAATGTTTTTGTTTACATATGCAAAGTTTACATGGGCTAGTTGTTTCGTGTACTATAAATTTTAGTTTTGGATAAAATATTTGCTGAAACATATTAAATTACTCTTAGCTTTTGTTGTGGAGGAAGCTATCCTTATTTTTACCATGTTATTTCTGCCCCCGTACTAAATTTTCTATTAAAGAAGTAATAGGAGCCATAGTGTTGTAATTGTATTCATTTCTCAAGCCAGTTAAATCTTGTTTAATAACCATTTTAGCATTAATTACTGACAACTTAACAGTACTTAAAACATTTTTTTTCAGCAAGATGTTATTATGGTTGTTCAAATTCTGTTCCCTTTACTCTTATTTGGGGAAAAATAGCCTTACCTTCCTGACCTTTATGACTCACAAAAATAGTGATCCCTCACTTATCACAGGTGTTCCGTTCCAGGACCACCTGTGATAAGTGAAAATCCACGAAGTAGGGACGTTCCGCCCACTCGAATGGGCAAAGTGTCCCTACTTTGCAGCTGCCTCCTCGCCACCTCCGTTGCTCTCCACCTCGGAGGCCCCTTCCTTGCCAGGCTGGGCACCCAAGTCTGGCACCCAGCCTGGCAAGGAAGGAGCGGGGACCAGCGGAAGTGGCGAGGAGGAGGATGCTGCTGCCGATGCCCTCTTTGGCAGCAACCTCCTCGCTGCCTCTGCTGCTCCCCGCCTTGGAGGCCCCTTCCTCGCCAGGCTGGGCACCCAAGGGGCCTCTGAGGCGGGGTAGGGATGCTCTGCCCACTTGGCAATGGCCTCCTCCTCCTCGCCGCCTTCACTGCTCTCTGCCTTAGAAGCCTCTTGGGCACCCAACTTGGTGAGGAACAGGGAGCAGCTATACAGTGTTCCCTCGCTGCTCCCCACGAAACGGTCCGCAATAAGCGAACCACGAAGTAGCGAGGGAGCACTGTATAGGTGATTTTTGTCTATATAGTGCACATATGACAGGTACAGCACTGAAGAGAAAAATGTGAGCTGTGCTATGTACCCTTTATACCCATGTATAAGTCTAGAAATTTTAATTAAAAATCAACCCCCCAAAACCTGGCTTGATTTATGTATGGGTCATTGTGTGTATTGGACCTTAACTATTAAGAAGAATCATTCCCTTCTCTGAGTAAAGTGGCAGAAATTTGTTCTGGGATAACCTAAAAGAAGCATCAATCTCTTCTACTCCCTTTGCCATGGCCTTTTTGAATGCCCGAGAGAGACAATACTGGATGCAGCCGGGACAACTTGCCTCCTAAGGTGGCGTTGGTGCTTTCCTTCTCCAGGGATAACTCATGGATCAGTTGAGGAATGACTCTCAACTTTTTCATGAGTCATGTCAAAATCCATAATTTTGGCCCCCAAACCTGTTCTTGACTTACATATACGGTTGACTTAATATATGAGTTCATACAGTATGTGTGTGGAGATCTACAGTTACAGGTGTGCAACGTTTTAGTGAAGCAATGTTTATTGTAAAATATTGTGCAGCATACTGGTACAGTTTTAATTTACAGAGGCTAAATATTTCACATTCTTTCTAGTATTTGCATATATGGTGGAGGAGATCGGAGAGGGCAGATCAATCTTGTTTCCAAAGGTGTGGATATTGTTATTGCTACTCCTGGTAGATTGAATGACCTTCAAATGAACAACTTCATAAATCTGAGAAGCATTACATACTTGGCAAGTAGTCAACATTAATACATTATGATGGGAGTCAGTAATATGCAGATAGAACTAGTAGCAAAAAGCCACATTGTAAAAAGTTCATGTTTATGGTAAGTTAGCTGAAACCTTGGCCTTTTCTAGGCTTTGTCATTCTCTTTCCCAAATTATAGTTTTTTCCATTCCACTCCTTTTATGGTTGGTCAGCATCCTGTCAATTGAGCATGTGTCTTAGAGCTCTTTTGGGAATAATGTTATGAAAGCGGGTTTTGTACTTTCTCAAGCATATTGATTCCTTGGGTGAAGATGGTCCTGGTTAGGATGCATAAGGATCAATGCTCGAAGAACTGAGATCACTATTGATATAAGTGAAGCCTGCAAAAATATTAAACCGTTTATAGAACATGGTGTTTCACCTATAACCAATCATGCTTTCTTTCAACAAGTTTCATGCTTTTTGCTCCTTGCCATTAACTTTCCAAACTGTTCCCCTACCACAGGTCATTATTATTTGCCTACAGTCTATTCAGATTTGGGGGGTGGGGGTCTGTCCCTATGTCGTCATCCCCCCCCCCTCAAAATAATGTATGGTGCCTGTAAACTCCAAGCACAGTGCTATCCCACATGTTAATGAGTAGTGAAGTCTGCCGGATATTACCATGTGTGGGAGCATATTTTGTATAACACACTCATGCACAATAAGTATGTACTTAACTATACCTAAGTATGTTGAGTGCTACAGAACAACACATTAATAACATGATTTAGCCAACATCTCTGGCACCAAAATGTCTTATCTTTGTCAACTGTTGGGTCAAGGAAGAAGCTAACATTTATCGATGACTCTAGCAACTCTAGTGTGTAAGTACCACATAACTGGTTCAGTGAGATATTAGTATAGGAAAGAGTGGTTGTTAGATACATACTTCACGGCACTATCAATATAATACAAGATGTTAGTAGCTTAATTTTTTTTAAAGATGCTTAATGGTTTAAATATTCCCTTGTTACTTGGTATGAACAAATAATACAATGTGTTTCACTTCAACTGACTTTTGATTGGAAAATATATTTGAACATAAGGTTCAAGTTAAGTAATAGCAGAGACGTGTTCATTAAACTTCACGTGTCTGATTCGCAGTATTTACAGTGCATCTTAAAACTTCTTGCGGAAGTGAATAGGTAATATGGATACTATTGAAAATACTATTGAAAATAACCTAAAGAGAGCACACACATAAAATAAAAAGTATATATACTCTTTAAGCAACACTTTTGGCATTTAATATTTTGATGCTGAATTTCAGAAACCTAGTCATTTATAGCCCTGGAATTCTCAGTGCTTAACTGTTCTTTATCACAGGTGTTAGATGAAGCTGACAGAATGCTGGATATGGGATTTGAACCACAAATAATGAAGATTTTATTAGACATACGTCCTGACAGGCAAACAGTTATGACCAGGTAGGCATCCTTTTAATAACAATGAAGTATAGTGCACATTACTTTGGTTAGAAGGGCAACAAACAAATATTTTAAAACAATATTTTAAAATCAAGCACAATCTTATAAAAGGACCCCATTTTCACAAGAAAAACCCATGTGTTGCACCACTGAGATGACTGAATTAGCATGAAGAGAGACATGTTCAATTTTTCACCAAACCTTGAAGAGACTTTGGATTGGTAAACAACTGTCAATATTAAACTGTAAAGATAAATTGGGGATAAGCAATGGGAATCCTATAATGCTGCTCTGAGCTCACGAGGAGGAAGATAGGAAATGGGAGTAAAACAATATAATTGCTTTCATGTAACAATTTGATCAGTGAGATGTAAAGGCATGCATAGATAATCAGCAGAATAAGGTTTTAACACTTTGATATTTGAACAGCTTGTATCTTATTGAACCCTTTGTAGCAAATCTGATTTCTAATTGGCTTTTGAACAATTTCTTTGTTCATTTCCACCAGTGCTACATGGCCAGATGGCGTGCGACGTCTTGCAAAATCATATTTGAAAGATCCTATGATTGTATATGTTGGTACTCTTGATTTAGCCGTGAGTTACTTTTTGTTGTTTTGGACTAAATTAATCCTGTTTTGTTTTGTTATGTGAGGGAGAGAGTAGGATGGAGAAGCAGGAGGAGTGTGCGGGTCTCTGGGGCAGATGGAGGAAGTAAAATGGAGAGGGAAGGAGGAGAGGGTCAGGAAAGGCAGGATCCATAAAAGTGGTAGAAAGCGGGAGCAAGTGGTGGCTCTTACAAAGAAAACATCAGATGTTATTTATACCTAGTCAGTTGTTACTCAAATTGAGACTACAGTTAAGAAAGCAGAGAAGGACTTGCAAGTACAGCTGTTATCTAGACAAGATATTCAAATATAAAACATGTTCTTGAATCCCCAAATGGGGGTCATCTGTGCCATAGTATTTCTGATTTCTTTGTATGGTTGTAAAAAGAACGACAGTGAGGAAAGCCAAAAAGAACAGCAAGTCATTTGAAATGTGTTACTGGAAGAGAATTCTAGAGACACCATGGACTGCCAAAAAGACAAATGTGTCTAAGACAAATCAAGTGAATTATCACTAAATTCCAAAATAAACTAAGGCTGTCATATTTGGACATATCAAGAGATAGTTTGACCCATTGGAAAAAATAATGATGTGTGGCATACTGGAAAGCAGTAAGAAAAAGTAAAACTCCATTCCAATTGATTGATTCAATTAAAAAAAAAAAACTTTGACCCTGAGTAAATGAGATTGAATAAAACTAAAGATAACTTGGGCCTTTGGAGGCCTTTGAGGTATAGACTCACCATAAGTCAAACCAACGTAATGGCACAAAACAAGATTCTCAGGTTGGAAAGGCTGCTAAAATTGACATCTTGAATTAAGTAATACTTCTTTATCTCCTCTAACCTTTATGTATGGGTTATTCTGCTCATGCACAGCCTATTGACAGAAATTTATAGAGCTGAGCAGTCTTATTAACCCCAGGCCAGCCAGAAATTACATTCAACTCCTACAGATAGGGAAGGACAGATGCTACAGCTAGGAAGACCTTCCACAGTTTTTCTTAGAATGCTATTTAAACAAATGTTTGAAGTTGCCTTGTAATTGTCTTGGAACTTGTATTATAAATTACTAGTACTATGGGCTGACTTTTAATCTACCTGTCAAGTGGCTTGTTTGCATGTACTCATGAAATGGTGGTCCTCATGCTTTTCAGTTTCAAATTGCTGGGTAATCATTTTGAAACAAAAAGTTGTCATAATAGGATACAACAAAGAATTACCATGGTACTCCAGCTAGGATAGAAATTTCACCCATTTTGCTTCCGATACATTATGAGAAAGCTATAGACCACCTTATGTTCATTAGATGAGCCTGCATTATCCCTGAAATGTCTTGGCCCCTATGTAAGGCCACAGCATTAACACAAAGGCATGAATACTTAAAATTGTGTAGCAACCCAAACTGAATGATTGGTTCTTAGAGTTGAAGGATCAAATTTCAATTGTGCACATTTGATTTTAGATACATATAGTTGATTTTTCACTATGCCCTCACAATCCTGGAGTATCAAAGGAGCTCTTACCTGTGTTTCACACATCCCATCCTTCTTTCTTGTAATAATAATAATTAATTTTATTCTTATATCCCATCACCATCTCCCTGAAGGGACTCGGAGTGGCTTACAGAAGGCACACAGTGCCTAAAAACAACACATTAAAAACATAAAAATGAGGCACAATATAAAATACAATAAAGTAAAACACAACACATGCATATTATTTATTACTCTGTTTTGATCAACTTACTAAATTGAGGCACTCTTCAGTCCTTGCATACAAATCTAAGATCATATTGTCACAGTTTAAAAATAAAGTATGTTAAGTTTCATTCACATCTATTCGTTAAATTTGTTTTCAGGCTGTAAATACAGTTGAGCAAAGAGTGGTAGTTATTCCCGAGGAAGAAAAGAGAGCATTCACACGTTTCTTCATTGACAGTATGAAGTCTGAAGACAAGGTCATCATTTTTGTGGGCAAGAAACTTACGTATGTAGAAGATATGTAACACAAACTTACTTATGTGGAAGATATGTAACACAAATATGCCTCATTAGTAACAAATGTGATTTGAAGCTGTGAATCCTGACTTATGATGAGTAAGCCATTGGCCATTTTGTCCTCCACATTGCTTATTCTAGCACCAATATATGTCTTTTTTCCTGTTGAAGCTATGGATCAACCTTGGGATTTTCTATATGCAAAACATATATTGTTTTTTACTTCTCCAATTAGTGCTGATGACCTGTCAAGTGATTTTAGTCTTCAGGGAATTCCAGTTCAGTCCTTACATAGCAATAGAGAACAATGTGATCGTGAACAGGCCTTAGAGGACTTCAGGAAAGGTAAATTTGGAATTGATCAAAATCAGTTGTAACTTATTAACAATTAAGCATAGCATCTTTCAACTATGAATAAAGATGATCATGTATCAGATTGTATGACGTTTTGACAAGTATGACAAGGAAATAATTGCTATTCAGATGTTTTGTTGCAGTGTGTGTAATATGATCTAGCATCTGCTCTTTTTCTGTTGGTTTTGAATGTCTTGTAGAAAATACACCTATCATATTGAGTAAGCTGTTGTTATTATAAGACTGATCACTACACTTAACTAACAGAGCAAGCAATGTTTACTCATATTATTTTAACAGCAAAAATATTTCTCTAGTCTACCATTCATACAGGTTTATGTTCCATATGAAAGTTATACATTTCCAAGTTCAACACTCTTGCTAAGTTTAGAGGTATGCACGTTTATCAATTTGCTTGCTCTTATTCTAGGTAGAGTTCGTATCCTAGTGGCAACTGATCTAGCTTCCCGAGGGCTTGATGTACAAGATATCACTCATGTTTTTAATTTTGATTTCCCTCGCAATATTGAAGAGTACGTTCACAGAGTTGGTCGTACTGGTCGAGCAGGGTAAGTTGAATAGTGATACAGTGTGTTAGAAGTTAGTTCTGCTTCTTGTTCATTAAAATGCTTTTCCTTGTGGCAGTCACCATGTCAGGAGCATCACCAAACTGGCAGCCCTTTCAACAAACCTTTTCAACTCTCTCTCCCTCTCTCTCCCTCTCTCTCTCTCTCTGGTTTGATCCAGGTTTCTTACTTAAAGTAAATTCTCTATTTCATCACACCCAACCCAGTTTTACCATCTTTTTGTCCTCACCCAGTCTACTTCCTAGAAAAACAGTGGTACGAACTGTATAAAATGGAGCTCTAAAACCTGTCCATGGCATACTAGGCTATTTAGGAGAATGGAGATTTGTCCACCTTTCTGGGCAAGGTCTCCCTATCTACACTTGGCGGGTTAAGACTTGCATCTTCTTAGCTTGTGACTTGTGTCTTCTGGGCCTTTTTAAACCACAAAATCTGACAGCTCATTCTATCTGGCCAGCGATTTCTAGAAGAAATTTGCAGAACTGCAATTTGGTGCAACTTCCACCTTTACAAAATATTACAGATTGGATAAATCTGCCTTTGCTAGGACCTCCTTTGCAGACAAACATTTCAGCAAGTTATCTTAGATTTATTTAATTTCTTCTCACTGTTCCTCGCAAGATCTACACCAATGGGATAATTTATATCTTAGACAACTTCTTCGTTGGCTGGGAATAGCACATTGAGAACTTATCATGAACATCCATTCTAGCTAAGAAGAAGGAGTCTTCCAACACCATCTATGGTTAGCAAGGCTTCCTTTTTGGAGATCCTGTTGTCTTGTTTCTTTTTTCTCCGTTTAGAAATGAATTGAGAAGGTGCTAGAGATCCAGTACGAAGTACTTTTTAAAACAATAATAACAATCAATCCCTTGTCTTGCCTGGGTGGTGACTGGGATAAACCTTTTCTTGGATGGCTTCTTCTCCTTAACTAGAATGGACCTTTACAGTAAATTTCCAACATGCCAATTTTGTATGAAGACAAAAATAATCTTCTTTTAGACAAAACCAAAATATTAGCATTATTTTGAATATGAGTAAAAAGAGCCAGAAAAAAATGCATCCCAGTGCCACCTGCACCATTCATGACCTCAAGTGAATGCAGCTGTAGAAAGCTCATGTGATCAGAAGCCTACCATAACAAGTTTTTTAGTCACAGGGAACTCTGTAATTATATCCATCCAAATGTGTGATCATTGCTCCTTTGCATTTCATGCATTTCTACCCCGCCCGTTTCCCCCAGAAGGGGGACTCAGGGCGGCCTTTGAGGATCTCCAGTAAATTGGGGAACTTGGGAATGGAGGAGTTAGGCCTGGAGAATGCATCCCAGGCTTTCTCCAGTCATCTTCAGAAAAGAGTGTCTCTTAGCCCCTCCCTTTTTTTCATAGACGCACAGGAGAAGCTGTTACACTTGTGACGAGGAATGATTGGCGGGTTGCATCTGAATTGATTGAAATTCTAGAAAGAGGAAACCAGGTATTGTCATATCTGAGCTAGTACTAGACCTGTATGTGTTTGTGTCCATTGCCATTCCCTACACATTTTTGCCATCATACAAATAATGAAAGAATCTTTAATATTGAAACGTAGTTTTCAATATTTCTTAATGGTCTCTGTGCCTCATACAAATCAGTTTTCACCTCTGCACAGAGAGCTTGGTGGGAATCCCAACCCCTTTATCTACTGCACATGTTCTAGCTCATCAAAGCTACTGTTCCCTGAGTTTCTCTCCATCTGCTCATAGAGAACATGTAACAAAAATCACACAAAATAGTATTAATAATAGTAGCTGGCATAGTTCAACAAGAAATTGTATATTTTTATAACTAAATACAATCTTAAAATGGGGGCCTTATGAACATAATTTCAACAAGCCTATAGATTATTTCTGCAACAGTGAGATAGTAGGCATGATAAAAGCAAAATACAGGCAGCCCCCGAGTTACAAACATCTGACTTCCAGATGACTCATTGTTAAGAACAGGGTGGGTGAGACAACAGGAAGTGAGAGAAATCTACGTCTTGGAAGAGAAATTCACTTCTGGAAGAGTTACAATGGGGGAAAGGTGTCTCCACGGAAGCTTTATCACCAATCCTTGCTTCCATAAGAAGCCAAATGTTCAAAATCTGATTTTCACAGGGACAGAAAGTGAGGTGATATCTTCTGAACAGAGCCATAGACAGCAGATCAAACACCACAGGGGTGTTCACCCTTCCCTTTGTTATCCAAAGGTGATATATTAAAATGTACCTGTTCTGACTTACAAACAAATCCAATTTAAGAACAAACCTACAGAACCTATCTTGTTGGTAACTTGGGGGCCACCTGTGCATTTAAAATTCTACAGTTAACAAAAAGTACATTTTAGAATTGAATAAATACCGTCAAATATGTGAATATTGAATGGAAACATGCTGAATGATTTGGTTATGTAATTTTATCAGATAGTTCCAGAAGAACTAATTTCCATGGCTGAAAGATACAAGCAATTTCAACTGAAAAAAGAAATGGAAAGGGATTTGGTAAAGCCTCGTGGTAGATCAAGGAAAGGTTTTTAATCCATTGAAGAGATTATTTGAATACAGTGAGTTCCTGTGAAAATGCTAGTAATAATTTAAGTCAATAATATCAGTCATGAAGCAATAACATGTGGGGAGACAAGATACTTTAATGAGGTACTTGATAAAATAACCATACTGTAACTAGTTACCGGGTTGGGAACTGCCTGTGATTAGATGAGAAATACCTGAGAATCTTGTATGTGTTACCTTAAGTATCACTGTAGTAAATATAATCTGAGAATAAGATATAGTGCAATATATTTTGGCACCAACTGACATCCATGAATTCCATCTTCTCACTTTCAGGGATAAAAACTTGCACTGAAAACAATAACTGTAAAGTCATGTGTTTTGTATCCTTTTGTATACCAACATCTTAGTACCTTCAGAAATAATAAAAATGATGCTAAGTTGTAATTTTTTCACATTTCTTTTTTGCTTCAAAATAGTATATTGCAGTACGCTTACTGTGTTATATTACAGGTTTTGATACATTTTTGTTGGGAGCGAAGACTTGATATTTTTGTTAATAGTACAAAATGTTAACTCTTGTTTCATAGGTTATGATTCTGTTCAGATAGATGGGATACCTGTATTTCACACAATAATGTTGGCAAACGTTATGGTAAAGTTGAAGAGAAATAATTGATAAACAAACCCTTCCCCAACTTTAATTTAAAATGAGACCTATCTTTAAGTGTGTATAGCTTGTTTTATTGGTTATGTGTGATATAGTGATATACCCAAAGCTAATGATTCCCATCTTTAGATTAAAAATGAGTCTATTAAAATGTGTAGAAAGATGTAAAGTAGTATTTTTAACTTGTTTATTTTGAACTCTTACAATAAAACTGAATATTGGAAGAATAAAGGAATCATTTTCATTTGCTGAATAAAAATTGCTGCATGACCTCCATGCTAAATTAAAGCTCCGCCTGAACTGTTTAAGAATGAACTTACCAGCTGAAATAATGCTAGTGACATATAAAAATACGTTGTACATGCAAATAATTTTTAATAAAATGTACATTTGTTTGTATTCTTTTACATACATGAAGTATTTTTTCTCATGCTGTAGACAGGCACGTGAATATTAGCTCTTCCTGTGTTCTGTGTTTAGATTTCAAGTTTAAAAAGATTTACTTGCAGTTTCATTAACACTTTTTATGAATTAGTTAAACATAGGAAATCTATTGTTTATTTCCTTTTCAATGGTTTTTACAAGTGCATTACGCTTCGTCCTGTCAATCCTCTCTTCAGAGAAAAAGTTAAATTCAGGTATAAAAAAGAGTGGTAGCTTAGCTTCTTTGAGGCAATCGAGAAAATAATTCAATAATCTGTTGAAACATTCATCAAGGTTTGCAAGAAGCCAGTTGCTGTCTTTGGGCCATTTGACACATGCGTGGAAAAAGGCAGTTTTGACATGATAAGAACAGAATTTCTCAAACTGATTTCTGTTTTCATGTTTTGTTTTAAGCTGCCACAATAAATACTTCAGAAGCTTGAGACAATCTTTCCTGTTGGGAAATAATGAAAGAATATGGTGAGATAAGTAATTTCTAACACATCATGCTGGGAACTGGTTTGATAGGGACATAGGCTATTCCAAAGTGCAGTGGATCCACACTCAAGTCGCCACCATTTAATCATGCCAAGTAATATACATATGGGGCATTTTTTGTGTCTGGCAAGTCCAGGACCAAACCACTGTGGATATGGAGGGCCAACTGAATTCAAAGTTGATTACGAGTTTAACTGAACTTCTGCCTTCACCTGAGCACTGAGTAAGACAGGAAGTTCTTTAGAAAAAAAAATAGCTACACCTGTACACAGTAAGCGAGAACTGTCGCCGCCTTCTTGTTTATTATTAATGAGCAGACAGCTTATTCTCTTCCACGACACAAGACAGGTAAACCAGAAGTGGAAAGGCATACCATGTGAAACCATGATTCCTGGGTTTATTGTTGACAGACAGGCCATGACTCAAAAGATTACAAATAGGGGTTAACTGCTGACTTACACAGCAAACACAACTCACGATCCTCAACTTGGTGATCATATCAAGTTTTGTTTCTGGTTCGTCCCACCCACGACTGAAGGGATCCCTCTTCTAACTAATCAGATGGCTCACCCCTTCACTGCACAGCCTGGGGATGATGGGAGTTGCAGCTCAGCAAAAAAAAAACTCCCATCTGAGGAGCATACCCTCAGCTTTCACTCACATGGATCTAGAGCTAATGGGAGCAATATCAGACAGATCTAGGGCTGATGAAAATTTCACCCTGCCAGATCTCGGGGTAATGGGAGTTACAGCCAGCCAGATCTGGATCTGATGATTATTTATTTATTTACAATATTTCTACCCTGCCTTTCTTCACACTGGAGGGGACTCAAAGCAGCTTACGCTTAGGCAACTATTCAATGCCTTCAAACAATGTACAGTTAAAATAACATTTAAATGGAATTATAAAATACATTTAAACATACAAAACAATTGTTACAGCCTGAGAAGGTCTTCGACAGGAAAGAGTTGCACCCCATCAGCTGTATGGTTTTATAAATGGTCCCATTATATGGTTATGCAATTTTTAATGGGACCATTAATACAATCCAAACAATAACCATTTCTAATAAATAGCATTACAAAATAACCCAGGCAACACGGGGTACCTATGCTAGCATCCAAGTTTCTTTGCCACAGTTTGTATTCTCCTTTAAAGCTGTGAATGCCAGTTCCAGTCTTGGCTTGGCATATTGCTTTCTAAGCACCTCTGGCATGAGCATTTCTCTCCATCTTAATCAAGTCTAGCTCTTTGGCGTGGAGATAAAAATCAGGGCGGAATAGTTTTGGTCAATGGTTCTCAACCTGTGGGTCCCCAGGTGTTTTGGCTTACAACTCCCAGAAATCCCTGCCAGTTTACCAGCTGTTGGGATTTCTGGGAGTTGACGGGCAAAACATCTGGGGACCCACAGGTTGAGAGCCACTGGTTTAGGTGGTGGTTATACATCCCTGGGGGTAACGGTGGTTAGATACTAACCTGCAGCATTTCTCTCCCTTGATTTCACAACACGTCTTTGTTTGACCGTGATTTTGAAGCAGCATCTTCTCAATGTTTGAGAAAGAAAGTCGCCAGGTATTATCTAGGTTTTTTAAAAAATGAAATATTGTTTTTGAACTTTATCAGAAATATTTTTTAAAAATATTTGATAAAAGGTTCTGTTTTATGTCAGTGAGGGTCAGTCCCATTGTGATGATTGAGCCATTTCTCCCCAGAATATTTTATACATTTCTTTAATAAGGAATAGAAGGAACCCTAGACTTTTGGTTCTACTAAACTGTTGTGCTTAGTAGCAGGAATGATCTAATACAGTAACCTCATTCTAACATTACACAACCGTTGAAAAAATATGGCAGTATCAAGTCTTCTCTACTTTCATCCTTTCCCTGGCCAGGCATGTAGCGGGGGGGGGGGGGCTTCAGCCCCCCCCCTGAAATTCTCATGGTGGTCCGCAAGAAGGCCTTACTGGTACATTATTTGAACTGTTATGTTTATTCATATCATGATCTGATCACCATGCTCAATATATCCCATATGCATGGGGGTATTGGGGTAACGATACAAAAGGTTTGCTAGGGTAGACCCTCTTTCACTCAGACTCAGCCCCCCCCCCCCCCCCCCGAAACAAAATCCTGGCTACAGGCCTGTCCCTGGCTCTGCATAAGCATCCTTTTCCTATTGTGCAAAATGCATGCTTGACTAGGTCGCAGAGAGGGGCAGTTGTGATTTAAATCCGAAACCCTTTGTCATTGTGTATGACAAAATCCAAACAACATCAAAGAGAAAGAGATTTTTTTTCGTACCTATAAAGCACTTTCCATCTTTAACGTTTTTGGGCACAAGGTAGAGTGGTTCAGATCGCAAAGACTTCTTTACTTTTGTTCCCATCCACTCTTCAATGCCCATGCCATTCTCTGTACTGGAACACCACTTGGGATGATGAAATTCCAAACTAAGAATGATGTCTACTGATATAACAGAAGGAGGACTTCCAATGAGAACAGTTACTGCTGGGCATCCAGGCCTCTTTTTCTCTACAGAAATGTTCATATCTGTTAATAGCAAAAAAGCAGAAGAAGGGAAGGGAGAAAACAACAATTTTAAACTTTTCCACTCGGGGCCCTTTCACAGAGCCCTTTATTCCAGAATGTTTGTTGCTGTTTATTCATTCAGTCGCTTCCGACTCTTTGGGACCTCATGGACCAGCCCATGCCAGAGCTCCCTGTTGGCCGTGGCCACCTCCAGCTCCTTCAAGGTCAAGCCAGTCACTTCAAGGATACCCTTCGTTGGCCCCTCTTCCTTTTTCCTTCCATTTTCCCCAGCATCACTATCTTCTCCAAGCTTTCCTGTCTTCTCATTATGTGGCCAAAGGACTTCACTTTTGCCTCTAATAGCCTTCCAGTGAGCAGTCGGGCTTTATTTCCTGGAGTATGTATGGACTGGTTTGATCTTCTCGTGGTCCAAGGCACTCTCAGAATTTTCCTCCCAACACCACAGTTCAAAAGTGTATCTTCCTTTGCTCAGCCTTCCTTATAGTCCAGCTCTCATATATAGGTTACTATGGGGAATACCATTACTTTAACATAGGATTTTATTCTGTGTGAAGTAAAATGGATAGCTTTTGCTCTGCCTTAGAACATGTTTTAATTTACCTGGATATATTTTGGTTCTCTAGAAGGCACTATTAAACGGATGTTGCTGGAGCCACATCTCACTGATCAAATGGCTTACTTTCTACATAACCACCCCCTCTCAGCAGACTGGGGACATCCTCCCCTCTATTCAGTAACTGATGGCATATAAGACTTTTTCTGCTCAGTTTTCTCCTGCACTAAATCAAAGAAAATGCCTGTTCCAGTTAGTATTGGCTAACACAATTCTAGAGCTCCCAAGGATATAGAATGGTAACAGCCAAAGTAATCTTTGCTACCTACCACTAGTACAGTCAATACTATTTTAAAAAAAAACAAACAACCAAAATTGCCATCTTATATGAGTCTGCTCAGAAATAAGCCTCACATTGAGTGGTAAGGGAGTTAGATTCAAAAAGCTTTTCTCAGTACTGCCTAAATGAAAATAAATTATGATAAGTAAACAATCCACCGGCAAAATCTTGCAGTGCCCCCTCTCCCAAAATTAGCCAGTTTCTGTAGACAAAAGCACTGCGTTTGGTAAACTTTCATGCAGCCTGAAAATAAATATGTCACACCGAATGACCAGAATGTGCAAAGTATGACTCCAGTCTACAATCAAAAGTTGTAATAAACTTTTTCAGGAAACAACCCCTATGAAATATAAAAGGGTAATTTGTATTTACCTGCCATTTTCTTTACTTCATCTATAATAATGTTCCTTAGTTTCAAAAGCATACGTGAAGATGAAAGTTGTTCATTATCATCACAAAACTGATTGAGTTCCTTATTGGCAGGATCTCGTTTCAGCTTTACATAATAAAAGGCACCAGAAGAAGTGACAACTTCACAGGGTTCCAGTTCCAGTCTTACTTTAGGAATTTTAAACATAATATCGAACTCATCTGGGCTACATATCTATAAGTCAAGGAAACAAAAGTGGAGTTACTATGTGTCCCGTCTCCAAGACAGTAAAAGAAAAGGCACACCATAAAAAGTATGATCATTCAGGTGGTAACAGTCCTGTCACAACATTTATACTAACATATGTTGATAGTTATAGCCTCTTCTATGATTGTAGGTGAACTATAAATCCCAGCAACTACAACTTCCAAATGTCAAGTCTATTTTCCCCTTCTACACTGCCATATAAAATCCAGATTATCTGCTTTGAATTGGATTATATGGCAGTGCTGACTCATATAATCCAGTTCAAATCAGATGATGTTAAGAAACTATAATAGAAGAAAACACATAATATTAATCATAGAATCAAAGAGTTGGAAGAGACCTCATGGGCCATCCAGTCCAACCCCCTGCCAAGAAGCAGGAATATTGCATTCAAATCACCCCTGACAGATGGCCATCCAGCCTCTGTTTAAAAGCTTCCAAAGAAGGAGCCCCCACCACACTCCGGGGCAGAGAGTTCCACTGCTGAACGGCTCTCACAGTCAGGAAGTTCTTCCTCATGTTCAGATGGAATCTCCTCTCTTGTAGTTTGAAGCCATTGTTCCGCGTCTAGTCTCCAGGGAAGCAGAAAACAAGCTTGCTCCCTCCTCCCTGTGGCTTCCTCTCACATATTTATACATGGCTATCATGTCTCCTCTCAGCCTTCTCTTCTTCAGGCTAAACATGCCCAGCTCCTTAAGCCGCTCCTCATAGGGCTTGTTCTCCAGACTCTTGATCATTTTAGTCGCCCTCCTCTGGACACATTCCAGCTTGTCAATATCTCTTGAATTGTGGTGCCCAGAATTGGACACAATATTCCAGGTGTGGTCTAACCAAAGCAGAATAGAGGGGTAGCATTACTTCCCTAGATCTAGACACTATGCTCCTATTGATGCAGGCCAAAATCCCATTCGCTTTTTTTGCCGCCACATCACATTGTTGGCTCATGTTTAACTTGTTGTCCACGAGGACTCCAAGATCATTTTCACACATACTGCCTTCGAGCCACATGTCCACCACTCTGTATCTTTGCATTTCATTTTTTTCTGCCTAAGTGGAGTATCTTGCATTTGTCACTGTTGAACTTCATTTTGTTAGCTTTGGCCCATCTCTCTAATCTGTCAAGATCGTTTTGAATCCTGCTCCTGTCCTCTGGAGTATTGGCTATCCCTCCCAATTTGGTGTCGTCTGCAAACTTTCTATAATGAGATAGAAATTATAGAAGTACATATACAGGTATACATATGAATGAGTTTATGCATGTATATGCAGAGAGAGAGGGAGAATTGAAGGCTTGTTCTGCCCCCACACTATCTTAACTACTTGGAAGGTGAAGTGGCTGCGCAGGAAAGAGATCAGAGACTTTATGGTTGAATCAAACATGAATATATTAACTGACAGGAATTTTAGACTTTTCTTTTGAGTCTCACTACAAAGTCTTTATGAGGAGAAGTAAAGTCTTTGAGAGATAGACACAGTTTTGGCTGAATAGATGCGCTTGAATATTTATTTATTCTTTTTGTCTCTTTCTTGTATAGTGTTCAATTGCCTCTAAGATGGTCTCAATATTTAACTCTGACTGGACGAATACAGCTCAAACAGCTCCGACTGAACAAACTATTTTGTCAACCTGCCAGCCTTCCTCTCTCTTCACCTTCCAGACACAAAAAGGCTGACTCTTCCAAGAACCAGAAGTGCCTTGCGTGAATCTCTGCCCCTGAGGAGATTCTTAAATGGGCAGAGCAAAGGAGGCTTCCAATGCAAAGAGGCTGTCTAGACTGATCCCCCAGAAACTGTACATAAAATATCAATCCCTCTAACTAAAAAGGACTTATGTAGGGGTAAATAGTGAGGGTTGTTATGGGACACAACAAAACTACATGGGCTAGTGGAAACAAAACCTTGAGAAAGAGAAGTTTGACAGATCTGACCTTCAGGAGCTATTAGGGAAAGTTCTTAAAAATGGACTGTATGCATTTGTACTATAAGTTCTCAACCTTCCTAATGCCACGACCCCTTAATACAGTTCCTCATGTTGTGGTGAACCCCAACCATAACATTATTTCCATTGCTACTTCATAACTGTAATTTTCTTACTGTTATGAATTGACAAAATTTGGCACAAATATCCAGTACACCCAAATGTGAATACTGGTGAGGTTGGGATTGATTTTGTCATTTGGGAGTTGTGGTTGCGGGGATTTATAGATTCTGAACCCCACCAACAGAACTCCCATGACCAACAGAAAAATACTGGAAGGGTCTGGTGGGCATTGACCTTGAGTTTTGGAGTTGTAGTTCAACTACATCCAGAGAGCACTGTGAACTCAAACACTGATGGACCAAACTTGGCACAAATACTCAATATGCTCAAATGTGAGCAGTGATGGAGTTTGGGGAAAATAGACTTGACATTTGGGAGTTGTAGTTGCTGGGATTTATAGTTCACCTACAATCATAGAGCAATTTGAACCCCACCAATGATAGAACTGGGCCAAATTTATCACACAGAACCCCCATGACCAACAGAAAATGTTGTTTTCTCCTGGCCACATAACAGACATTTGTCAAGATGCAATTTACCAATAATTAATCTAGTATCTCCATTTTTTTTCCTTTTCCTTCCCTTGTCTCCCCTCCTTTTGTGATAAATCTATACACATAATAAAAGTTAAAATGTGTATGTGTTAGGGGTGTCCACTTATAAATTCTCCAGTCACTACAAACAGCTATAACTCCCACTACGGAGGAAACATCAATAGGCCTCCCTCCAGCGACACTGCAGGTTACAGTGAGCACCACATCCCAGGTTTCCTTTCTCTCTCCATTGGTTTGGAATTTGCATGGCTCTGCCAACTGCCTCTCCCTTAATCCTTTCCTATTATTATCAATGGCGCACAGCAAACTGAGGAATTGATCAGCAATTGAACAAGGGTTTAGGAGACTGACTCAAAAGGATGGAAGTTGTAGTTCATCTTGCATCAAGGCAGAGCACTGTGACCCCCTTCAATAATGTGCCTGGACCACATTTGCCACAGAGAACTCCCATGACCAGTGAGAAAGACTGGAGAGCTTTGGGAGGAATTCACCTTGATTTATAGGAGTTGTAGGTACTGCAATCCAAGTGCACTCTCCACCCCAGCAAGGATGGATCGGGAAGTAACTTGGCACGCAGAACCCTCATGACCAACAAAAATACTAGAGGTCTTTTGAGGGATTTATAGGAGTTGTAGTTAACCTACATGAGCTATGAACAGAGTGCACTCTGAACCCAACGATGGAGCTGGACCACACTTGGCATGCATACCTGATATGCCCAAATTTGAATGCTGGTGGGTTTTGGAGGGAGTGGTAGTGTAGAGAAGTGTTCATTATACTGTGTTTCAAACTGTGTTTAGGCTTTACATTGTGGCCAGGGCCTA